CAGAATTGGGTAATAATTCTCCGTAGGTTCTGAAATGGGGCTTCACATTGTACATTCATAACCGACTCAATGTTTATATTGAAAATATGGCATAATGCATTTTAAGGGCAGCTACTTTGAAATGCAATACACGCAAAAAATGTGGTGCAGCTAACCAAGTATGTAGCACAGTGAGAGTCAAAAAACAGTCAACACACAAGATTGTGTTATGCAATGACCACAAGGAGGTTCAATTACAGGTCAAACAGGGTACTTGAACCTGCAGGTAGGGGATGAATAATAAAGGATGCACTGCGCCATCAAAAAAACAACTGTTTTGGATGCAGTCTCCCAGTTAAACATTAAAAACATGTACATGTCTGTAACATGAGCGTCTGCACACAGTGTAGTGTTACACTTTCACACATTCCTCATTCAGTTCTGGGGCTCTGCATCTGTTTGCCACTATGAATGAGCACACATCTTCCGCTTCCAGTGTTTCTAGTCTAGTGTTTCTGGCCTTAGGTCCCGCTGAAAGTGGGCTCTTGACACAGTGATCCTGTAAATCACATAAGGGAGCCAGCACACCAGCAGCACCAGGATTTACAGAAACCAAGCCGACCATGTATCAGTGATTACGGACTTGGTTATTTTCCCATAGCCAGACCCAAAAATAGCTCCTCCAGCTTGGACTTATGCCACGCGGTGTCTGTTTGTATTTTTTGTCCCCGGCGCTTTAAAAGCAGCACAGGCACTGCGCAACAGAGAATAGAGGCATTGCTCCCCAGACATGATGACCAGACCATGACATGATCACAAGCACTTCTCCTTAACTCCTTCATCCAAACAAAAGCAAGCTCTCCCACCAGACAGCTGACTGCCGCTGACTGAAAGAGAATAAAATCAGCACCGATATGAGAGTCTCCCCCTACCTATCAATCAGTGTGGGAGCAAGCACGCCCTGACACAGTTCTCAGATATGGTCAGCCTGACACCACGTTCATCATCAAGGCATCTACTCTTGTGCTTTCTTTGTCCCATCTCTTGTCTCACTGAGGTCTTTATCAAGCCCTGGCTTGCTCCGTCTTCATCTTGCTCTCTTTGTAAAAATTAGATGCAACTCAAATTTTTAATCAGCAAGATAGTTTTATTGTTAAAGCAGTCTTGAATCCTTTGAAAGAGCAACAAGTAGGATATTTTAGAGCTTTACAGCATGAAATAAACATAACAGAGGGAGCTGGTATTGTCCATGAATCAAGCATGTGATGAGATCATTTCCTAATCTTTGGAAATCTTTGCCACTCTAAACTACAAACTCCTGCAACTATTAGTATGCAACCCTGACATGTCAGTTATCTCCCCCCGAGCCTAAAATAAGCACATGTTTTTTCAGGTACTTGGAGAGGGTTGTTGGCTTGTTTGTGTTATGAAAGAGGGGTGCGGCCAGAGAGTTGGGGGTTGGGACCAAAGTAGCTGCCAAAGCACTTATTAATACACTGATAGCTGCCCGGCCAAGAGCAGGCTGTTCCAGTCAAAGACATGCTGGGGCACGAGTGGGGTGAAAGTTTCCCATAGTGGACACTGTCAGACTGTAGAGTCAAGGACTCATTCTGGGGCAATCAAATGTTAAGTAAGGAGCTGGTCTGAGATCTGTGTCTTGGGTGTGAGGATTACAACTTGGCAACACGAGGCAGAGGGGGTAAAGGATATTCCTGAAGACACTCTGCTGAAATAGAGCCAATTGTAGATAGAGGCACACAAAGTGAACATGGAAATAGCCTCTGCTGGGGAAACAAAAGCTGCCTTGCAAATTTTGCAGAGGCAAGAATGAGACTGGGGGTGGTATTATCATAATATTAGTGAGTGTCACTCTATTGCAGAGAGTGACAAGTTAGGAATAAGTTTACATATGCATACAGTATACCAGAGATGTAGACTTGAATCACATGACTCATGACAAATTTCAGGACTTTAGACTCGACTAGACAAAATCAAAAAAGATTTGCAACTCGACTTGGACTTTAACACCAATGAGTCTGAACTTCACTTGAACCTGTTGACTTGGATACTTGATACCTTTTCCCAAAGCCAAAGATTAAAAAGTATGCCATTTAAAAAATATGCGACAAATCAGTTCATTTCCCTCCCTTCATTTCCTCAATCAACTCAATCAATTCGACACGTTCTTCTCCAGATGATCCACTTTGTTTGAACCTATCTGACAGCATCAGGTCAAGTTGCAGGAGAGAACCATGAAGAACTAACGGTATGTTACTGAATGCCAGCTGGAATAAATGAGACCAAAGATAATTTTGTTTTTGTGCAAACACTTTGTGGGGGTCAACAAAAAACCACTGGACTATGCAAAATGTGCGGGCTGAAAATTACAAACGGAGACAACTTCCAACAAAGTCTTCAGGACAAATGAATACAAAATTTAAAAAGCAGTCATGATTTTCGTAAACTTCATATATTAAGTTGTTAAAATGACATTACATTTGGTGAAGAGCGCATTATGACTTGTTTAGGACTCGAAGCTCAAAGGTTAGGATTTGGGACTTGACTCAGGACTTGTCGGTCTTGACTTAGGACTAGACTTGAGACTTACTTGTGACTTGAGAAACAATGACTTGGTCCCACCACTGGTTTATACAGAATACAGGTCTCCTTTTCTATGTGGTTCAGACTGCGGATGAGCGAGTACAATGTTATCTGTACCTGTACCGACTAAAATATCTGAATTTGCATTCAGAATGGGCGGGGCTTGTGCCGGAAAAGGGCGGGTTTAAATCGAAAGTGGGTTGGGCCTCATTGAAAGTTGTTATTTTAAGCCTGAAATTTATATAGATTAATCAGAAGTTGCGATTTTTTTTTTATCTATGAGAAAGGTATTTACAGAACATTCTCAACAGATATTTTTTTTTATAACAAGAGTAATAGATTAAACATGGCTACCCAAATAAGGTTTTTCCTCTATCATGAGTACTAGTAATGACACAGTCATTACTAGTACAATAATGATGACAGTATCCAAGAGTTGTTTCAAATGAGAGAAAATCAGCACGACCTGAGGGGAACCAGTATATTTAAGAAACAATTAGTGAGAACAAATGCAAAATATCACTGTATTACAGTTAAAGGAGTCACCTTGTGGAATAATTGTAACAAGGATCTGAAAGCATGTTCATCATTAAATAAGTTCAAAAACAATATACTGAAGGGATATATGATGGAACAGGACATATAGGTTGTCCTGTTGTTGAAGTATGTCTCATTCTGATTGCAATGTTATTTTTATGGATTGCTTGCTTGATTTGTTTGAGTTGCATGTTAACGAAGCAGAAAGCTTAAAAATTTAGGTTCAACATAAAGTTTAATGATAAAATATAGAAAGAAAAAAGGGGTAGGACTAGATAAGTTCACACGTCCTTCCTGCTCCTTTTCGGATGTGAAATATGCAAATATGTTTCCGAGTTGTATTTCTTTTTTTGATTTTTTTTTTTTTTTGTTCTTGCTTTCCTTGGTTTGTCTTTGTGACTTGCTGAATGGCTGACCTTTACTTTACGCAACTTGATTATTCATGTCTTTCATTTTTTTATTTCTTATTATATTTTTATTTTTATTTTTTATTTTTTCTAACCAAAGCTTGTTCGTTTCTTTTAAACATGTCCGAATAAACATTATTCTATTCTATTCTACGATACTCGTACTTGTAAAATGTAAATTATCTATACCGGACACTGGTTTCAGCCGAGTATTCGGGCACAGCAAGTGTCATGAAATGACTTTTACCAAGAAAGCAACTCCTGCAAGTCTGTATGGTTCACTGGCGACTGCTCATGTGCATGTGAAAGTGTATGAAAATCATCCAGGGGAAATGCAAATTCTGAGAGAAAATAACAAAGCACGTGTGAGCTCATTCAGCCTGCTGGGAGCAGGTGGCCTTGTGTTTCTATACCTCAGTGTAACCTGCATTGTTTTACTCTTGGTGCTTTGAAAGTGGACTAAATGTCAAATGGAAAAGATACTCAGACAGTGGAATGCAGCTTCGTTGTTTAATTTGCACTGTTCTCTTTAGTTCATCATTAAGTCTGTAAGAGAGATCTGATTTAGCTCCTTTTCAATTGTTTATCATTTTAAATGCTATCAATAAAAGCTAAAACCCTCAGTCTTTAATACTTTAATACTATAACATGACTTCTGTTTAAAAAGCTGCTGCATATAGAAGCTGATTAGAGTTTGATTGAGTCTCGGAGCTCCCCTAATGACAGGAAACACCACCAGCTTCCAGTAAATGACTACATCACTGCAATATTTGCCCATCTTTACTGTCACATCATTCGCTTACAACTCTGTGTTGACTCATAGTATAGGCTCCCAAGTATGTTGACCAAAGACTCATCAGCCATCTGTTGTCTTTCATATTAGTGGATATCATCACAGCAACACTCTATTCAACTCTATTCTATTTCTATTCATATGGTACTTAGAATTGCAACTGTAGAAGCAGGCGACAAGCCAACAGAGGGTGTGACCTTCCCTCAATGTGCATTCATCCTCAATGATATTCTTTATGACCCTGTGCAGAGAAAATACTGTTATGTTGCTTTACAACTACTATAAGAACATTTAGTGTGTCTGTGGCAGCCAGTGGTCACTTTATATGGTTTGTGATCATACACACAATATTAAACTTTAAGTGCTTTCTGTTGTGTTTGTTCTATACTTGCACTTTAGAAGTCCCATAATATTCCCTTTTAGTTACTTTTCATTTAAAATATGAAGTTATTTTGTCTTAGTATTATTGATATTTCTATTAGTATGATTATTATATTGACTGTTGCATAGCCATAGTTTTGTTAAAAGGTGTATACAACATCACATCCTGACTTGCATGGACACATTTCACACGACCACAATCAAGGGAAGCCTCATAAAACCACTGTAATAAGTAACGCCTGGACCGTTTCAAGTATCTGGCACCTTGTCTCATGAGTGAAAAGCAGAGACTCGATTCTTACCTTTTGTTTGGCTGAGCTGTCAAACTGTCTTTTCCGCCAAATATTCCCATGCTTTCATAATACGAGTAGAGAAGGGTCTCATGCTGCCCTTCTGACAACACTGATCAACCCCGGCAACTCCGCTACAGCTGTCAAGAGAGGCACAGTGGCAAATATGCAACTTCCTGTTGTAACTTTCAAAATAAAGCACTGACTGGAAGACTTCATCCTCCTGACACCTGCCAATTCGCATTTGTCATCTGTGAGTAACGTGACACTAAGGCCTTTATTTCAAATTACCTACATGCAGTTTATTATTATTATTATTATGTATCCTAATGTACTGTGAAAAGCACATTCTGAGCTATACAGTGATGTAACACACATGGGGGTGTGTGGCCAACAGAGGATATCTTCCTTTCAGGGAGGGGAAGAAATTCATCAAATTTATAAGCATATATTGTTTCAGTTTTTTATAAGAGTGTTGTTTTTATTTAGACTGTTATCCCGATTATAGGCTATTAAGATTTAAGAAGTGCATGTTAATTTTAAGCCTTTCAAAATGCCCACGTTATCGCATGTCCTTTGTGGGGGACAGTAGGACTTACTTGTTCTCATTTTCAGCCGCTTTACTTCAGGAAACAGAGCACCAGTTGAAGCACAGGAAATTTTTAAAAGCACACACATTACCTTTAATATTAGGCTACATTTCTTAAAAAAGAATTTAATAATGTAATGTACTTTTTGTGGAAAAGACTGACCCGATGTCCACCACAAGGGACATGCTATAAAAAAATTAAAAATTACATCGTTTTTGAGAAACAAATCTTTTTGATATGTTCTCTACATCACTTACACTGTCAAAAAAAAAAAAAAGAATAGAATATCAAAATATCAAAACCCTCTGTCTTTCAGGTCTCGGGACAACCAAGGTGAAGCTTAGGCACTAGTTTATCGTTATACTCTACAGCTTAAAGGTACTCTCTTTGTTGAGAACACAAAGTCAGCTTTAGGAGCACAGTTAGAGTGACTAATAGAAAAATGTTTTCTGCTTTGGTTACATCATACCTATCACACTGCAGATATGTATTCTAAGAATGTATTCACAACAACTGTCCAATGAAATTTATCAGAATAAGCCAGAAGCATCTTCAGACACTAAGGAAGAGACTGTAGTAAACTTGATACCAGCCCACAGTAACTGACATGAGCACTGAACATCAGCATGGAGTTGATTCATGATCACTTGTTGAAGGCAAGAGAGATCGTGACTGGTGATGTAATGAAAGAGTAATATGGATGAAATAAATCTAAGTAATAAACATTACTTTGTATGCTGTATTTTATTTCATTTTTTTCCAAGTGACAAATTCGAAGCTTTTATTTTGACGGTAAAGAATAGGCTTACTTCCAGTATTATCCTGCTCTTCTCTGTCACTTTGACCTCTCAAAGTCTTCCATTGAAATAATGGAGGGGGAAAAACCGATAAATATTTTGTCACCAGAGCTTAGTAGTTGTTTCAAAACTGGCACTGACAACATAGTACCATGAGGCTTGAGAGATTAGGCAGATATGTGCGGAATTAGTTTTCTTTACAATGGAAAAATGTCCCAATCAAGACATTTTGAAAGATCATTGTGTCCACAATATCTGTAAACTAAGGACGTATAAACATGCAAACTATTATTATTATTATTATTATTAATATTATTATTATTATTATTATTAGCAGTAGTAGTAGTACTATCATACTACTACTACTGCTAGCTACTACTAATAATGCTGTCTGCAGCAGCAACTTATTTTGCTATAATAATGGTAGTACAACAGTGCCATCTGCTGTGTATAGTTAGTGACAGTTGGACCGTTGTGACTTACAATATAGAGCAAAATCTAAAAACAGGAGAAAATATAAGAATGATATAATGCCATTGACATTATGCAATAGCAAGTTGAATACGAATCATGTCATTTGAGGAGATATTCCAAGGTGAAACCAGAGATCTTTATCCAATATCTCTGGTGAAACTACATTTGCGACAAGTTTATCTAAGTAAATGTTGCTTTTTCGTGCTGCCGGGAAACATCTTTATTTTGGGTAGCAGGGGTGTATCTCGCCATGATGTGTAGTTGTTACTTTTTTGTTACTATACAAGTCGGCAAGACTGTATTTTGTTGCACGTTGAAAGACTATGGCTGTGCATGATTACAATACAGTCATAAAAACAAGAGTGCGTCACAGCAGCAGTGCACATACAAAGTTGCAGCAGTTGCAATAAATTGATCTTTGTAACTTTAATAGGTCTTACTGTAAGATGTGGAGAATCAAGTGAGGAGAGGCAAAACATGTATTGTGCTGTATATTTTTCAGTTGTGTCTAATGGAGGGCTATGATCGGTGTTGGCAAAACTATTAAGAAAGCATTGCTTTGCAAGCTACCAATTTTTTCACATTGAAAGAAGATGAATACAGCAAAGTTACAGCAAAGGGAGAAATCTAGTTTGGATCACTAAAGTGACTTAGAGAAAGCAGTTAAAGCTGACAAAGTGATACAAAATTATAACAAAATAGGCTATAATACAAAGAAGTCACATGACAACAAAGAATGACTTTATTGCAATAAGTGCCAACTTTTTCATATGTCATAAACCAAAAAACAAACAAAAAAGTAGTAGTTAAAAAGTAATCTAACTGGTTATATCAGCACGCAAACATGAATGTAGCTGAACTACCAGTAAGCTACTGCAAAATGTAGTTACTATTAGTTTAAAGACATCCAGTACTCCAACACTGACCATTATCATCAGCCAAATTTGATTGCATTTTATTTAGATTTTAGTCGGCTTTAGACCACAAATGCTCACGCAAATGCTGTATTTCATTTCGTTCACTTGAACACAACAACCAATATTATTTCCATGGCACTTGAAAAAATACATGTTATGCAAAATGCAACCTAATTAAACCTGGAAGGCATAGTTGCATGTTTGCAACAAGGACTCTGAATGCATCATGATGTTTACTGGCCGCCCATTGGTCGATCGCGCTCCAACTCTGGTCCAATCACAGCGCACAGGCGGAGAAGCGTGCGCCCCACCTTGTTTCGGTCACGTGACGTATGCCTACGAAGATGGTGGAAGTTTCTTCTTCCTTGAAGTGAAGCCCCGACTGGAACCTAAACACCCCGCACACCGAGGGCTCGGACTTCACCGCAGCGTTACCAGTCTGGTTTCACAGCCTCCCTTCGGATCCGGGTAGGTGAGTCCAAATGACTCGCTCTCTCACCGGCCGTGTTTGTTTTTTCATAGCCGTTGGACTTTGGGATTTCCAGCCAGCCATGATGAGACGAGCTAGCAGGCTAGCAGTTAGCCGGGCTGGGATGGCAGCAGTCTGTCAGGACTGGTGACCAGCTGACATTCAACATGTACTCAGCAACTCCTGTGGCCACACCGCCACTGTCAATATACACACCGTTTACAGACAGTGCAGTGAAGTTAGCTAACCGGGACATACTGTTCCTCACTGTGCGGCCAACTGAGTTAGCGTTAGCTCGTTATCCATTCGTAGTTGGATTAAATTATGTAATCTTTATCGACACTTGTTATCATAGCATATCAGAAAGGTAATATAGAAGAGTAATGATTATACACAGGTGATTATTGTCAATAATTAACGTACACATTGGCTAGTATGGTTGGAATTAAAGTGGTTGGAGTTGTTTCCTCTGAGCTACTTGTTCTCATATGGAGAGCAGTAACTGCGCCAAACTCCATTTAATATTTGGCAGTTTGTTGTTGCCGCACTCTTCAATTAAATAACATATAGTAAACTAAATACAAGACTTAAAATAAAGTATTAGGAGCCACTTCTCAATGCGTCATATAGTATATTCTATCTATAAAGCTGCCAAGCAGTAAACTCCATTAAAATTAAAGCTGAGAGAACCAGTTGAAGAACTATTTTTTTTGCCGACAAAGTATTACAGTTGAATGTCCAGCAAACAACTATTCAATTTAATTACAGAAGTTGTTAAACTTTATAATTAAAGTTTAAAGGGACAGTTCGGATTTTTTGTAGTGGGGTTGTATGAGGTGCTTATTCATAGACAGGGTGTTACCTTCAGTCAGACACAGAAGCATAGCAGTGTACTGCTGTGGATGGGGGTTAAGACAAAAATGTATTTTAGCCAACTTAAAAAAGTCCCACCTATAAAAGAAACAATAACAATTTAAGTGTATGCTATATTACACAGAAGATTATACAGAAGATTCTGTGCTTTACCTTTTCATCAGACAGCTTTTTCCAACACAGAAGCCGTTAATGATTCCAGATTCCCATCTATACTCTTGTCAAAACAACCAGACCTTATTGAGAAAAACAGTAATTTTAGCTCAGTGGACATGGGAGAAGCTGGTCCTCCGATGCCTCAGTCAGTTAGTTTGTTTTTGTTATTGTGTGACTTTGGTGAGTCTGAATTAACCCTTATAAATGCCAAAGTCATACAACAACACAAACAAAATAATGGTTCAAGGCAGCAGTAGGCCAGCAGCTCCTGTGTTCAGCCGTGTTAAATTACTGTTTTTCTCAATGGAGTCTGGCTCTGAAGAGAGCAATATAATGGCTTCATTTTCCCACTGGAAATCACTGTCTGACAGCAAGTTAAAGCAGAGAAAATACTTTCAATATAGCATACACTTGAACTGAAAGAGATGTTTTTTAGGTGGAATTGTCTGTAGGTGGCTTAAATAAGTTTTGTCACTGCCCCCTCCACAGCAGTAGATTGCTTCGCTTCCACATTGGAATCCAGCCTGAATCTCTAAACTGGGGCTGTGCCGACTGACCTCTACTGTATGTAATACACTGACTATGGATAAGTACCTCATACAACCTCACTGGAAAAAATCTGAATTATCCCTTTGACAACAGCAGTGCAGAGTTTTGTCTCCTTGCATAATTTTAGTTATGTGGGAGAAACAGACAAACAAACAAGGAAAGAGACAATGATTTTATTGTCACAGTTATTAGCCGTCAGCAACTTGGCAATGTTGGTTGAGTTAGTTTGTGTCCTCGTCTGCCACTGTTGTTCTTTACATGCAGTATCAAATGGTTAGTCATCTGGTGACTGTACCAGGAGGCTGGCTACTGTTTTCTTGTGTGGCCCTCCTGTTATGGGAAATGTTTTGATTATTAATAATCCATCACAATATCTCCAACCCAGTCTCCTGACCTGAACGACATAAGTCATGCTCGAGTTTCTTCTGCGACCTAGTTTATGATCACATTAGGTTTTCAGGAATCTTTGACATATATATATATGGTATTCTGGTGAACAAAAAACAGCGACGATGACAACCTGTTACTGCTGTAAGTATGTATAGTGATTGAGATCAAATTGACATGGGACTCTTGAGAGCTGTTTCAGTGAAGTACATAATAGAAGAACCTGTTTGTCCTTTTATCTCAAAGTAATGTTGGTCATCATGAAGGCATGTTTTGTTGATATGCGGCATTGTTTTGTATGCTTACTCATGCTGTAAACAGATTATCTCTATGAGTTAACCAGTCCAAGGAGCTAACTGTCATATACAATTTTAGCCTAGACAAGTTTTTAAGATTTTTCCGGTCATTATGGGGATCAGGGTGATATTGTTTAAAGTGCACTGTTCAAGTGCACAATAGATCATATTCAGAGCTCTACAGCAAAGGCAATTTGAGCTCAGATTCCATTTAAAATGCCTCTCAGACTCACCAAACACAATTTACTGGTGCGTGGAGGATGTTGGTTAAAAAAAAATCCAAGTCATGGCACTGGCAGGCCATCGTAGAGTTTAATATTCAGCGAATACCCTCGTCTACAAAACGCAGTCGGCCTGCTCGTGAGGCTGCAAAGTCAGCAGTTGCAATGAATTATTGACAGAGCCTAAAGCAGTAGCCAATGTGAAAGTTTACCCAGGAGCTCCTCACTTTATTCTGCTCTGCCATGTGCTCACTGGACGAGATAGACCAAAGAACATTTATTATTCAGTGACGCATGAACCAGGGTCTAGGAAAGATCACAGGGCCTGATTCCTGTGCTGCTGGTGTATCCCTTTCCTTACTCTGTCTCTTTGATTGACACAGATGTCAGTGGTGCAAATGAAGCATTGGAGTTTCAGAGTTCATATCTGTCTACTGCCAAGCAAACATTATGTGACTGCTGGTGTTTAGGCTCACTTCAGGTGGAAATTATCCCCAAAACCTATTAACTCTCTCAGTGTTTCTTGTTATGATATTTCATTTACAGCGACAGTGGATTTTATGAAAGTTTCAGAAATCTAAAACTAAAAGCATAAACGTCAGGTGCTGGTGTCAGTCCTTCTTTCTAGAGCTGCCAGTTGACAAGGCTATTTCTAAACAGGCACCAGGAACAATCCATCACAGAGGAGGCAAACACATTCATAGGTTTCATCCTCAATATTGAGCAGTGAATAAGCGAAGCAGCCATGAATGTAAGCTCCTCTCAGTGCTGACAAATTTGGTCAGAACACCTTAGCAGCTAATTCGTGGTCCTTGTTATAGGGTGTTGCTAAGAGACAGGAAAATGTAGGAAATCACCAGCTTAACTGACGTAGAAGTTGACATGGCTTGAGAGAAATGCTATAGCTCCAGCCCCCTGTGGTAACCTTGTAGTTAATGATGGATTGATGTGTTGAAAAAGTTACTGAACAAAGTAAATATTAGCACAGAGAACAGAATGTAGGTATAACCTTCATGCATTAAGTTGAAGGTGTTTATGCAGGCACTATTTCATAGACTGCAGACCTGACCCTTGTTTTCTTTTATTACCTCCCATGATGGTGTAATGTCTGTGTGTTTCACATGATGATCTGACAGGTAACTAACAGAGTGGCAAGCTTGTTTGACTTGATGCTCCTTGTTATATATTACTAGTTTACAGTTAGTCTGTTCTTACTGCGACATCGAATGCAAATGTCTGCAGTTTATAATACTGTTTTAGTGTTAAGGAGGAATTCCAGGAAGACTATTTTTAAATGTAGCCTCCCCGTCTATTAAGCCTGACACTCTGGCTGAGTGTTATTACATTACATTATGTTACATTCATTTGGCAGATGCAACTTACAGTAAGTGCATTTGACCTCCGAAGAAAAAGGAGCTAGATGTTATTAAAAATACAGTATTAGTAAGGTAGTATTTCACGTAGCTGAGGGCTACGTGGGGAATCATGGGGGCACAGTGAGCTATGTTTGACTTATTCCATGGCTCAGAAGTGGCTAAAACATACAGGACTGAAACCCAATCTATGGTTCACAGACCAACCGGGCCTGCAATAGGGAGCTGGGTGGCCCGCTGACCATTTTCTAATTTCTAATTCTAAATTCACCAGGAAATTGCATTTTTACACACTGGGAATTTTTTCTTTGTACTTGGGGTGTAAGTAAGGTACCAAAGTGCATAAAAAGCAGAAAAATACAGCCTACTTATATTAAAAATTAATATATTACTAAATTAAATTGTCCGGACAGTGGTCCAAGCTAATTATTTATATAAATGTTGCTGCTGGCCTCCTATCATTTAGCAAAAGTGGCCCCTGGGAAAAGCAAGTTGAGTACCCCTCATGTGCAGTGTTTAATTATTAAGGTGGGGATGCACTATTTGTTTTTGTTTTCCTACCTAAATAGATAGGAGAGTGTCATTTTTGCAAGTTGTTCATGTTGTGGGTAGTGTTGCACGGTATACCGGTACTAAAATAGTACCGTGGTACTAGAGTATTCCAAACGGTACTATACTGCATTTGGAAAAATTGATTCAATTCATTCATTTATTTAATTCATTTATGCACACAAACGCCTTCCTTGTTCCTATTGGAGCATATATTGCGCAAGTGGTGTGTATGACAACACCTGCATCAGCATTCGCAGCTGGCGTACGTGAAAAAAGACAAGAGAAAGTCTGCCTCGCAACACGAGACAACACCAACATGGTGAAACATTTGTTACACCCCTACTATTTATTGTTCTAAAGGTTTGTAGCCAAAAGGACTTTTCCTTAGGAAAAGTACCGAAAAGTATCGAAATTCATATTGGTATCGGTACCGAAACAAAGATTTTGGTATTGTGACAACACTAGTTGTGGGTTAATTCTACTTTGATCCAAATGATCATCACATCTGTGTGCTGCAAATTTGCAGTGGGAAGTGGGAAAGCGATTTGTCATCATCACCCTAATGATGTGTTGTCTGTGCTGCAGGCCTTCACCCCAGCCCTATGTCATGGCAAGTGGAGTCACCAAGTCGGGCACTACCAACGGTTACCCTATGAAGGCACAGCTACAAATCATTGGTGAGTCTTTGTCAAAATGAACAGGGGTTCAAGTAAAAAAAATGTTTTCAGATTTTGTTTCTTGTGTTGTGTTTTTAATTTCTGTGTTACTTTTTTCTCATTCTGGATGAAACATTAGGCTGTTTTCATTAAAATAAAATACTAATAATAGGACTTTTTTCACATAATATAAAGTAAAGCACATTTGTAAATAAAACAATCAATGATGGCTGAGTTCTGTTTAGCTGCTTTAGTTTCAGGGTCCTGCTATCCCGCGTGCTGGCTCACTTTCACATTGTCATGGCGCACTGGGACACCTGAATAGGACGGAGCCTAATAATGTTAATGTTATTAGTGACACATGCTTTTCCTACTATTAAAGGTCAAAATGTGGCTGTGATAACAGGCCTATAGTGAGAACTTTTGTGTGTCTTCTTTACCTTGTATCCTTAATTTTTGTGATGATGTTCAGCCATCTATGCATTCCCAAAGAGCTTGTTTACACCTGGTATTATCATGCGTCTTGGGTGACGGCTCTGTGTCTGTCTGGTCACACCTGGCATTGGAGTGTGTCTCCACATGCGTCTCAAGTGACCACTTGTTATTGGATCTCACTTTCACGCACTGTATGCAAATAAACATGTAAATAATTTCTGTTTGCAAAGACCAAATGTGGTGTTGTATTTAACTGGAGGGAGGTTTGTCACATTATACACACACTTACACTATTTATTATCTAAAATGAGTAAAATCTTTCTCATCTGTAGGGCTGTGCACAGCATATTGATTGGCAGCCCCTTCTCACCCTGCTCGGTGTCTCTCTCTGTTTATCATGAGACTGCTGTTACAGGAGTGTGAGCTTGGTACTGGGGACAGTTTGTTAGAGACTGCGCACACACACAGTGTCAGGGCTAACTGTTAGAATCACACAGCTAATGTCATTTAACAGGTATTAATGTTGAAACAGTTATTAATTAACAACAGAGTTGAGCTGTTTCGCAGTCTGTGTGAGTTTGTTAAGACTGTTTAGCAGCTGCTCTTGAGGTGGTCCTTCAGCTCTGCATCTGTGTGGCTGCACCAACAAATGTTTTCTTATCCACAGGGCATCAGATATGTCAGGACACCAGCGAGTAGTCGGTTCTTCAGTGTGACCCAGGACACATTAGCATGCACACTGCTAAAAAGTGTGGCCATATGCCGCCCAGACCACCTCTGAATGTGGTCTGTGCCAGCCAGACATGTCCAAGTCCGGCCTGGGGACAGATTCTTAATGGCCCACGGGCTGTTGATCAAAATATACTATATGTGGCTCACCACACAATTTTGGTTAATCAAGCAAGATGACTTTGCATCAACCCCCTCCCCATTCAAAACAGTTAAGGCATCCCTGATCCAAGCAATTGGATCTCAAGATGCATTTAGTGCATTCAGACCTGTACTTAAAGCTGTCCACTTCTGAGTTGATCCCTCAGGATGCATGCTGATACCAGGTGTAAACCCTTGTGCGCTAGTCACTACCACTGCCTCACCAGCTGAATACATTCTGCACTGGTAAAATCCAGATTGCGTTGCAGTCATGTTCCCCTGTTCTGCTTTTCATTTAAAAGTGTGTTTGCTGTTCTTGAATTCTTGTTTTTCCTTAATTCCTCTTTCTTTCTGCGCCAACATGACTGACATTCTGCTGCACGGTTCCTTCTCCCTGTCTCCTTGTTTCAGTGCTATCAGCAAAACTAAAAGAGAACAAGAAAAACTGGTTCGGTCCCAGTCCCTATGTGGAAGTGACAGTCGACGGCCAGTCCAAGAAAACAGAGAAATGCAACAACACCCACAGCCCCAAGTGGAAGCAGCCACTCACTGTGTGAGTCAAAGTCTCGCTGGGATTACCAGCCCTGTATGACATGTGATCACATTTATTATAATCAGAACTTTATTGTACTGTCACAACTCATCAAAGAGATTTTACTGCAGATATAAATGTGTCAAATTGTGTTTCAAAAGCAAATGTTGGGTCTGGTGTGCTGCATGCATGCTGCCATTTGTCATATGGGACACAGAGTGGATTTTAATGTTTGATTGTAAACATCCTGGAGGCAATGTACTCAGCTCTGAGAGACATGTTAACCTAGTTATTGTTCGCCCTAATGTGTTAAATGTTACCAGTCTGGTATTCCAGCAACCACAAAATTGCCCTGTTATTTACAGAAGCTTGTTTTCTCAGGTCTGACTCTAGCACAGTTTATATGTGAGCACACATGGACGTTAAGAATTTGAAAGGAACTATCAACACTTGGTAGTTTTGATGAAAATCCTGGTGTAGCACTTGTTTAATTACAGACTCAGTTAGGGTAATTACAACTTCTGTCTTTTGGTAACAAGTCATTATTGATACAGTGCAAGAATTGTTGAAGGTTATTGCGGGAACGTAAAAGCAGCTTTAAGTTGCTCATCAAGAAGGGTATAAGCAGCACATAGTAATCAGTGTCTGTGCAGCTGTGTGAGGTACAGATCAACCACAGTGTACAAGTCTGTTGATGGTTGTAGTGTAATAAACTGTGGTGTCTGCTCTTGAGATAGCTAATACTCCCCAGAGTGTGAATGAAGTGATTAATGAAACCAGTTCAGTTATCTGTGGTTTGGCTTTTAGAACCAAGCATATCTTGCTGACTGTAGAGTTTGGCTTTGCAGACCCTGAGGAGTTTCTCAAAAGCAGAAATAGACTTCCTTGTAATTGTTTAAAATTGCTGGTGTAACATATGATCTTGATCAAGATATTTTGCCTGCAGCACTTTTCTGTTTTGAATGAGTCACCAGGACTCGGTTTACTGGAAAGATTTTCTCTGTGTTGTAACTCTCAGGTTGAGGGTAGTGGTGTGTGTGCAGTTAAAAGAGCAGATATGCTATCTCCAAGGGGTTGGCACTGACAAGGAAAATGCCCCACAGTGGTGAGAGAGCGTGTCTGGTTCATTTACAGGAATCCTGTTTCGAAACTTGCATTCAGAGCACTTGCACCACACTGTGTGACTTCCTGCAGTCCAACATTTTCGCACATCAGATGTCCTCTTAATTTTAGCCTGTCCAGGAGCTTCTGCTGGGCACAGTGACCTTCTTAATATAGTTCTCCTACAGTTTCTTTCGCACCCATGGGGGCCTAGTTATTATGTAACAAGTGTTTACTATGGGATGTAATCGGACCTGAGCCGGTGTGCCTACATATGTTTTTTTCTCTGAGGGTGCTGCTAGCTAAACCAGTGGTGGTTATAGACACTTGTTGTCCCTGAATAGCTTCATTGTCTTTTTTTTTTTTGTTTTTACAACAAGACAAAGACTTTTGCAGCTCACACAGCCAAAGTGGCTGATGCATTGTAAACCACCAGCTAGCGACTGTTTGTTTTTTTTTAACCTGTAAACAATGGTGTGTCACCTACCAAATGGATTAATACATTTTTAAAGCCTGCCGAAGTTCATTTTGTTGCTGTCAGTAATACCACTTTGTTTCACAGTATTATTTAAACAGGGTTCCCACAGTCATGGAAAACCTGGAAAAGTCATGGAATTTCACAATCCCATTTTCCAGGCCTAGAAAAGTCATGGCCTTAAAACAAAACATTGAAAGTTTTGGAAATGTTATTTGTTTGTAATGAAATTGTGACAGTGGTCTTGAAAATTTGTTTTCTAAAGTTATCGATGTAATGTTTGTTTGCCATCACTTACATCTCTTCATTTTCTCCCAGCATCCGACATCTCCCTCCCGGTATGCCAGCTAGTTGAAAATTATAATATGGGCAAGTAGGGCAAGAAAAAATATATTATGAGTCCTTGAAAAGTCATGGAAAAGTTAGGAAATTTTGTCTATGAAAATGTGTTGTAACCCTGTTTAAACTAAATGCTTATTAAACTGGATGCAGTCGTCGTGTGGCGGGAGCTGTGACATCAAGCTATACCTTTGTTCGCGTTTTCTAAAACATTAATGAGGGAATAGCATGTTAGCAGTTTTCTGCTGAAAGGGAAGAAAAAAGGGAGGAAATAGTGCTCACTGAAAAGTCACTGATCTTGAAACAGGATTGGTGAGATACTGGTAAAATCCTGAAAGTAAGACCCTGGAGAGCTTTCTGAATGATATCCTCAGTGAACATCTGTCATCCAGGAGTATCGATGCTTTGGATGTATCAACTGAATTGTTTGTTTCCACAGGATTGTGACTCCATTCAGCAAACTGGTGTTTCGTGTGTGGAGCCACCAGACGCTGAAGTCAGATGTGTTGCTAGGCATGGCCACGCTGGACGTCAGCGACACGCTCAAGTCTAACGACATGAAAAGTGAGTGTATGATACACACACACACACACACATACACACACACACAGAGCTGTTCTACATATTCTTTTCCTTTCCAGCCCACTCCATAATACTGATTTCATTGTTTCTTTCATAATATTATGAGCAAACTCCCTCAGGGTGACCTGTTTTTGCATCTGTGCTTCAAAATAACTTTCATTTCATTGACATTAAACACACAATGTGCTATATTTACAGATGTGTAATGAGACATACATTAGTCCCAGATGACTTTAATTCAAATACTGTTCTGTTACCTGCAGTCTGCAGTGTAGGTAGATTATTTATTCCCAGTGTTCAGTATGTATGTTTAATGAATAAGCAGCATCATAAACTTTCTTCTTACACCATTGTTTCTGCTATGAAAGGGATAGTTCAGATATTTTGAAGTGGGGCTGTGTTAGGTACTTCATTATAGTTAGTGTATTACATACAGTACATGGCAGTCAGTAGACCCCCAGTTTGGAGAAGCAGACAGAAGTGCGGACATAGATGGGTTTTAAATGGGATGGGTTTAGCAGCAAACCTAGAAAATGGATACATCAGTTTAAGTCTATGCTGTTTAAAGAATATTTTCACTGCTTTACCTCTCCATCAGATAGCCCTTTTCCTTTGGTACAACATTTTCTCAGTTGTAGAACCTCTGTATTCCTACACAGCGATTCCAAGCACAACTGTGCCGCGTACTGTAGTTCACCACAGATAGGCTTTTTGGATCAGACTTTTTAGTGGTTCATAAGGAGAACAAATATGAGAAAATAAAACAATGAGTGATTATGACAACGAAACATTGTTTAGTTTGGAGACAAGAGGATACCCAGTGAACTTAATACAAAGGTTATACGGTTGACAAAATGTAGCACCAAAGGAAAGGGCTGTCTGACGGTAAAGAAAAGTGGTGAAATAATTCTCAGTATAGTGTACACTTAATACATTCTGTTGCTGCCCCTCCACACTAGCACATTGCTTAGCTTCCATGGTAGTAATGTTGTTTGCTTCTCCAAACTGGGGGCATGCTGACCAACATCAACTGTGGGTAATGCACTGACTATGCATAAGTACCTCATAAAACCCCACTTAAAAACATCTGAAATATCTCTTTAAGATATATTTTTAATCTGTGTCATCTATATTCAAGCATTGTTGTAGAAGTAAATTTTTGTTTGTAAATCCTCCTGACTGTGGGCCAGATTCAACTAACAGTTATTGCCGGGGGGGGGGGTACAGTTTTTAACATGAAACCAAACCCACACTGACTTTTCTCCACTTCAAAACAACCAAGGTTAATGGCACAAGGCATAGCTAGACTACAAGCCAACCTTTGTCTGATCTCAGCTGCCTGCAGTGCGTACAAAGACATGGTGTCATGCCAGATTGTAAAAATGTCATCTTGAAATGGTGTAGGTCGATAAGTGCTCAGGGCTGGAGTGCCATGTGAAACTGTACAACACTCATCCAGGCATTGTTTTCTCACAGTTTTTGTGAAAATATTTGTTCAATATGATCTTTATCTTGTATATGGAGTCTGAAAAATGATACCATGCCTTTCTTTATAATGACATCTTGGATGGTGAATAGTACATGTTTTGTTTAGTGTAGGGGTGTTTCCTTGGGTTTCCAGATAATTCATTAGGGTGTCTTAAAATAGACTATTTGTTTGTTTAGTAGTAATGGCTATTACTGCTCACCAGGTTCGTCTTTCATTTATCTCAAACTGTTATCGCAGCTCCCAGAAATATAAACTGTATCATTTCCTGCACACCACAGGTTTTGGCAGAAACCTGTTTGGTGTGGTACAGGTTGGTGACAAAAATGTTGGAATTCAAAAGATTACTTTATCTAAAATAGTTCCAGGCTGTGAAAACGGTACAGACAGTACTTCAAAGCATTTACAGATATGATTTATGTGGCCTTTTAAGAGCAAATAATAAATCAACAAGGCACTCCACTTCACACTCCTAAAAGAGGCTGCTGTTTTTTGTCATCCCACTTTGCCCTGGTAGATTTTTGGGCTTTTTTCCTCCCTTGGCTTGTTCCTCATAAAGACTCCATTCATTTCCCTGCCCAGTCATTTTTTATGCATGGAGCCTGTCCAGCAGTGCTAATGACTGAGAACTGTGGGTACAAATCACATGTCAAATAGCTGATTGATGTTTCGTGTCAGAGCAAGAAAATATACGCTGATCCCTTTAACTGTATTTTTAAATTACCTGTAGATTTAAACTTGTTTTTTGCGTTTGTTACAACTAAACCCTTGATTATTCCAGCAAGGAAAGACATTCAGCCTGAACAGGAACAGCAGATCTGTCGTGTTGCTCTCATTTATTCAAAGAATTAATTGTAATTTGAGCTACACTGAGCCAAGTAAATGATAACTGTTGTAAAGTGTGGTGCCACTGAGGGCATTAATGCATTTGGTATTTTCTGTGATCCCCAAGTTTCTAGGATGTGAGGTTTAAAGGCAAGGTTAAAGGTTAATTGCTGATCTTAGTTATCTGTTTTCAAACTGCTGTTGCATCTTGCCGGTTTGAATTTGATAAAGTTTGAAGGCAAAATGCATCTTGTCACTGATCGGCTGAAGATGCGCATACATCAGTAATAGCAGGTGATATATTTCATTCGTCATCATCTTAAACTGACCATCTTATGCTTTTGTTGTTTCAATGCAGTCTCTGAGGTGGTGCAGACCTTACAGCTGTGTGCAGACAGAGACCAGTCAGATGTGGTGGGAGATCTGTCTGTCTGCCTGGACGGCATGACTGTCGACCCTGAGATGTTCGCCAAGGCCGAGGCTGATCATCACAGTGAGTCACAGAACAGCCTGTTTGAATATTTGCAAGCTTAGGCTTATTTGTCATGCAAGAAATATAGTTATTTCACTATACTTATCTGGTTAAAAATGCCAGGAAAAACATGACACTGTTTTTCATGCTGTCAGTATCATGTCTTACAGTACATGCCCACTATACACGTCACACTCTCTTGTCATGCTCCCGGCTTTGTCCAGCGAATTAGTCGGCTTCAATACACAATAAATAGGAACGAATTTCTGGTTGCATATGGTGGGTATGCACAATAAGTTGACTGAAGTTCAAGGATGTGGAATAGTCAAGCAAAACCTTTGTATTTATATCAACAGAGTTAAGAACTGTCATATTGACCACATTCTACTGTTTTTTTAATGTGTAAACAGGAACTCCTATTTCTGCTTCATTTATGTTTGTGTGTTTTTACTTCAGGTACATCAAATGGGGAATCACAACCCAATGGCGATCATACCATAAGGTACAGTAGCTATTCCCATCTTCAGTTGAGTTTCACTCAGTTTGTTGTTATTTCATCTGCTTTATTTATCTCCGTCCATTCTCTGTCCTCACAGGCCGAGTAGAGACAGCTCCCCAGCTGTGGACGGTGTCGATCACAAGTCTTCTCCCAGTGGCCGGAGGTCAGCAAACAGCAAGGGGTCTCCTTCAGTGTCATCTGGGGGCTCGAGGCCTCTTCGACCACCCAGGCCCTCCAGACCTCCTCCTCCAACCCCACGCAGACCCACCTCTTCACCAGGTCAGACATTTACTGAAGGAAGGTCCTGCCCTGAACTGTTCTAGACACTTTTCAGCTAAGACGGGGAGGTTAAAAAAGGTCAAACTCTCTTCTTCCTACACTGACTGTGTACTATGTCACTATATAATCAATGTCAAGCAGTTACCCCAAGGCTAAATTGGGGTTGAACCAATCTGGAAATCCATCGGTAAAACAAAAAAACCTCTGGAGGCACAGCCTGGAGTTTTTCGACTAACGGAAGTGCAGGGGGCTTGGCGATCGCTCACGCCCTTCACTTCCAGCGGTGCCCCCAGGGAATCGCCGTGTTGTTTACAAATACTTCGGGTAGAAAACCAGCAGAGTTTAGCTATATATCACATTTTTCACGTCACTGTATCACCGTTTAGACTAATCTGATGTTTGTTAAGTCTATAAACACAATGAATGAACAAACATTACTATTTCTGTGTGCACGTTTTGTTTGTAATTAATAACATGGTTATCGTAGATTGGCTGGGCTAACCGTTAGCTGTTAACGTTAGCCGTTAGCGGTATCTGTAATAGCCATAGACTGTATAAAAATAAGGTAATAACTCAATAAATGGTCCGTGAATAAAATATTTTTTCCAGCGGATATCTTAGTTACAACATGATTGAGCTAGCAAAGCAGTTTTGTGTTGCTATGTGTGGTATTTATTCAGTTATGGGAAATCACAATGTCTAGAAAGCATCAGTGGCTGCAGCTGACAGGGACAGTTAGCAAAGCTAACATCAGGACGTCATCTGTTAAAAGCCTCCCGTTGTCGGATACGACATGAAACTACTCCAGTTAGCTCAATCATGTTGTAACTAAGACATCCGCTGGAAAAAAAAAATTTTTTTCACGTTGACGAGACAGCATTTTGGGTGGAGCAGTCGCTATGGACGCGGAGCTTGCTGTTTCTGTAGGTACACATTTCCTGGGGACACCTGCACGTCTCGGCCACGCCCCCTCCATTGTGATTGGCTAAAGCACCGCATTGTTCAAACTCAAAGCCCCGCCCTTCCCCCCTCTGTAGTCGTCTTTCACACAGGGCTGCCGACAGATTCTACAATGTAAATTGCAGAATCTGTCTTGAGAGATTAGGGTTGGACTAACACTTGACTTGACTCACACACACACTGACATTTTTTATGCAGCCGGGTTACTTTAATATGAGCCGTATACATTCAAGGCAACACTGAGGAGCAGCACAAATAATTGTGTCAGTGGTTATATCTGTTAAGGGAAAGAAGGTCTCTCATCACATCTACTGGTGTTCCTTTGCCTACTCAAGCTGCAGAGCCTGCCTGACGTGATAAACAAAAATGTTTTTGCATGTTTTACTCATGTTTGTTACTCTGTAATTGCTGTCTTATGGCCTTTGCACAGCAAGTACAGGTTTTACGTATGTTTTTATTAATTCATCATCCTTACGCACAGAAACCTTGCACACTGAGTCAGATGCGTTTTGTTGTTCTGTTTGTTGCACATATTTGCAATATGAGACAAAATGTTGCCAAGCAGTGAATATGAGTCTGTGGTCCTCTTACTTTCTGAAAATAGAAAAAGAAAACCAGATAAGGCGTCCAGAGCAAGGAGAGTTTTACCTGCTGATAAAGGAGCTGCACAATAGATACATTGCTAGCAGTACTGGAATCACAGATTAAAACGAAAACCACAAATTTCAGTGATCCAGTTGATCCTGAACAGCAGCTGGCAGTACATCTGGTAGGGACACTCCAGGAAATACGCAGAAAATGGAATCTGTGCCAAAACTTCAATGAAGGACGAAAGTTTTGGAGTCGGTGTCTAAATGTGATTGACACAATGTGTGGTCATATTGGGGGTTTTTTTGGTCGTTTTTTTAAAAATACATTTTTGGTGTGCAAAGGCCTTTAATCTTATCTATGATTTAACTCTCTAATTCTTGTCTCAGCATCTTCCAGTAACGGCTCTGCACCAGCTGATGGCAGCGATGGTCAGTCTGGATCTGATACACCGGTGCGAGCACTAGCCACAGTACTGTCATCAGCCCGAGAATCAAGTCCGTCGGCGGGCTCAGACAGAAACTCCCCTCCGGCCGCCAGCTCTGGAGCTGCAGCAACCAGACAGCCAACCAGCAGCATCACCCCTGCTGTCACTCCAAGGGTCCCTACTGTCAACACTGGACCGTTGCCCCCTGGGTTAGCTCACTTTTTTTAATCCTTGCAGAAGAACTGAGAAGTTAAAGAATATTGCAAACAATGTATGTATTTTTTTGACACAAATATAACTATTGTAAGTTTATAAACATGGAAGAGTGACCAGTATCAGCTGATCTCCCAGTCTCACACTGAGCAGCAGCAATATTATAGTGACCCAAGCCAAACAACTCATTATGTTTTGCTATGTTGTGTAATGAATTGAGACAAAGAAAGGAAGACAGGAGCTGCAGCTACAGAAACACCAACTTCATCAACAGAAAGTTCAAGAAGAATCAAGGATCAATGTGTTGCAGAGCAACTGGGTCATTGTTGAGCAGAAAGTAAAGTCTGTCAGATTCTGGAAGAGCATTTACCACCAGCCCAACAAAATACAGCAATAAAGCAAAGTTTAGTGAATGCTTATCAATCCCTGAAGCCATGTAGGGATAATTTGAGGTGTGCACACGAATAGCACAAGGATGTGCGAGGACAACAATGAGGATTGTTGGATTACTAGTTGGTTTGGTTTAGATATCACATCAAGCCTTCACTGAAATCCATAATGAGATATTGAAGAAAAACCCTCATTAACTATGGCAACAAGCAAAAGTGACAAATGTGAAGACAGAGAAATGTTTTAGACTGATGGTGTATCATTATGAAAAGTAAAGGATGACATGTTACCTTTTGTCTGTAAAACACAACACGGGTGTGTCTGAGCATTGATCATTACTGTAGCTGTCACTAACTCACTCCATTATCATCACAGTGTTTTCCCTGTTGTCTCTCTTTGGTTTCATTTACACTCCCTAAGTATCTCTTTCAGGCGGTTTTAGTGCCGTCATTGTGATGACATCATGACCTTCACTGCCTATTTGCTGCTTTTGTAATAGGATGACTGGAGCCGTGCAGCATTACCTAATATCCTTCATTTTATTGCTGTTGTTTTATCTAGATGGGAGCAGAGGGTGGATCAGAACGGCAGGTTGTATTTTGTCGATCACGTGGAAAAGAGAACAACGTGGGAACGCCCTGAACCTCTGCCCCCTGGGTAAACAGTCCTTCCCTTTTGATCTGTCTTTTCTTAGACTCAGAAAGTACTTTTGTTTGAAGTTTTAAGTTCATTGGCTTCTATTCATAGGATAGGATCTATTTTTAGATCAAATAAGAGGGTTTCTCCATCTTATAAGATGTGGTTACTAGACACTGGCTCATGCCCTGTTTTAAGATTCTGACTATGTAATCTAGATATATTGTTAATTGTAGTTGCTGCTGTTCCACCAACTTGGATATTTTCTCACACAAATCATCGAAGCTTTGTTAAACACTCGTACAGAATCATCAGAATTCAGAATGAATTAGTCAAGATGCTGGCAACAAGACAGGCCTGCATTTGATCAGTTACTATGTGTGGAGGTTTGTTTATATCTTGTGCTCTACTTGCATGAGTACAAGGACGTACATGTATGAGGATAAAGGGTTCATGCTACAGTTGGTGCCAAGAAATGTGGCAGTGTACCAGTAAAGCATTGAGCGGGTGAACATGGATGTAAACAATGTAGGTTTCAAAATAGAAAAATATTGTAATTGCCAAGTGTTTTTTTTTGAGATTGGAGGTTCTACACTTTTGTCAAGGATATCAACAGTGTATTTGGTGAGAAACTAATTGCAGACATAAAGTCATTTCGTAGGCAGTTTGTCAAAGTTTTTGTTGCTCTTTGTCTTGTTAAGTCAGTCCACACAGGAGTGATGGTCATTCTTGGCTGGACTGTCTCCTGTAATTTTCTGAGCCCTGATCCTGTGCCCTGTTCATCTGCTAGATTCCTAATTTACGTTATTCTTAAACTGTGTCACGTTTACTTATCAATACCTTTTCCAACCCCCCCCATTTGACCTAGTTGCGTAATGTTGAGTCACCCTTCCTGTCTTCCTTCACAAGTTAGCTCATTTTTACTGCCTATTTCTAAGACTTTATTGGCATGGTTGGTCGTCTAATATTTTATTAAGCTGTATACAGAATGTAGATTTTTAAACTCCACTAACAGTATTATATTTGATCAGTTGATGTACAGATTGCATGATGACTTTGAGATTTTTTAGCCAGTCTACCAATAATCACTCTTTCCTTTCTCCCCGTCTTCCCTTATTTTATTTGTCTTTAGTTGGGAGCGTCGCGTCGACCAGATGGGGCGGGTCTACTTTGTCGATCACATCACACGAACCACCACGTGGCAGCGCCCCACAGTGGAGACGGTGCGTAACTACGAGCAGTGGCAGCACCAGCGGAGCCAGCTACAGGGCGCCATGCAGCAGTTCAACCAGAGGTTCATATTTGGGGTGAGACGTCCTCTTTGTAATGTGACACTGTGTGGTAACGTGGGCGGTAATAAGTTGGAATGTGGTGACTTTTATTGAAACCAGCCCTCCAGTTGTCCTGTGATGACACAGACGTGTTTCATGTCCATGAGTCTATGAGATTTAGTTGTTTTTGCTGAGAATGAGTTTTTACTTATTACATTGAACAGCCAACTGGCTTAAAGTTGTTACTTTGGTTCAAGCTGATATTTTTCTTTATATCTGACTTCTCCCTCATGATATGTCCTATAACTGAAGTCACTGCAGTTTGTTTGTTTGTGCATCAAATCACAAAACACTGTAGCTGTCCTTTAGGTGCTTTTTGATTCATATGAGTGATTGTGATTCTCTGATGTGTAGCTACAAGACCAGGTCACAGCCACTCAGAATAAGGAGTTCGATCCTCTCGGGCCTCTGCCACATGGATGGGGTAAGAGCTTTATGACTTTTCGACTTATTTATACTTGACAAGTGAGCACCTAAATTGCCTTTTTTTTTTTTTTGTGAGTGTATTCAGGTTGAACAATCGACTGACTGTTAAGCTTTTGTTGTTGTTGTTTTGTCACTGTGCCTTTTCAGAGAAAAGAACAGACACAAATGGCAGAGTTTATTTTGTACATCACCCTACGCGGTCAACACAGTGGGAGGACCCTCGAACACAGGGGTTAGTTTGCATATTCCTCTGCTGTCCCTTCAGATAACCTGCACATCAGATGGAAATTACAGTTCAGTGCATTTAGCACTACACTTGGATATGACATACATTCATTTGCTGTGTCTTTGTTTGGTTCTTCTGATGTGAGACGTCACTAAATGTTGATCTTATCTAATTTTGTCAGGTTGCTGAATGAGAAGCCACTTCCAGAGGGCTGGGAGATGAGGTTCACTGTAGATGGTATTCCCTACTTCGTAGACCACAACAGGAGAACGACCACCTACATCGACCCTCGCACTGGAAAATCCTCGCTGTATGTCGTTTACCACTTGGTTTTCTACTTCCTACAAAATCTCGAGACAGACACAGCAGTGTTATTTTGTGGTTTGAAGAGGCATCAAGTTATCTGTGAACTTTGTTGAACATAAGTCAATAACCATCAAGTATTTAAAAAAAAAAATCCCACTTTCACTACTGATGAAGAAGAAGTAGAATATTTTTATATTGTTTGGCTCTAGATTAAGGCCTCGAGGCATCAAATTGGTGTAACAAAGGACTTCTAATAGCACCATAATGTTTTTATATTCATGTTTCCTGTTTTCAAAAGACATTCTGAGGAATTAGGAAATCACTAACAGGTTGAACAGATGAAGACGGTTCAGAGGAAGTGAGTACACGAATAAATAAAAAGCTAAATCACAACAGTGTCCCTTAGGAACTGGGATGATCAAATTTATTTAATGGATTAGGATGGAATTTCCTTTCCTTTCCTTTCCTTTTTTTATTTTTTTTTTGTGAGGGTAGGAAAAATAGTAAAACATGTATACTAGTAGCTCCTCTGTAACTGTTATACCTTGGATACACGAGACTGACTGGCAGTAACATTCTGGCTTTAGTCTGATATGTGCTTCCAACCAGAGAAAACAACAGTGCTTCTGCCATAATGTTATGAATTAACTTAAAATGAACTCTTACAGCTGGAGATGAGACTTAATATTTACTTTAATAAGTATTTTGCTTGTATTAACATGTATTTGACACTTATATTATTGGTACAGCAGCAGGTAGCTTCGTTCTACCAGGTAGTTCTGATTATGCAGAGCTTTAGCTAAATACATCCCCGCCTCTGAAATCCCTCTTTATTTTTAGAACTTGTGACGCATTTTCCTGATATGACTAATGGATCACCTAGTCTCTTTGCTTTCATTCTGTCATTCTCACAGATGGAACTCCTCAGCTGAGTCATGATAATAACTTGTGAGCATAACATGAGTTGAGAGTAATGACTTTGCTTTGGTTCCAGTGGTGGAAAAACCAGTTTGGTGAATGAGAGTAAGACTGTGACAGTATGAGCTGACAGGGGTGGTAACATACTGGCCAAGTTACCTTAACATATATGTACTATAATAATAATATAATGTATTTAGATGTGGGATAAAAACAAGTAAAAACAACATTTAATATGTTTTAAGGTATGAAAACATATTAAAACTCTGTGCTTCTTTTGCCTTCCAGTGAAAATGGACCTCAGATCACCTACGTTCGAGACTTCAAAGCCAAAGTACAGTACTTCAGATTCTGGTGCCAGGTAAGAGTCGTGAACAGTTAACAGTTTGGCAGGATTACAAGTTATAACCTGTTTTCTCATATAAACTTCGGACAGTGTCCAGAGAATCAGGTCTGGACATTGTCCTGAGTTTCCCTCACACATGCAGCATACAGCAGGAGATTGTCTGTGTCTGAAGCGTTCTCAGTACGTTGTTTGGTTTATGCAAGGAGTGGTGCCTGGGTAGTGTGCAGGAGGCAGGACATGATACAAACCACAGTCATGTAGCCAGTTCGTAATTGGTTCATAAACAACCAAGTCTTTTGCCGTTCCAACTGATTCAGACATCTGTGTTCCCACATGCAGCTTCTCCTGGTGATGTCTAGATAATTTCAGGTTTGCAGTGCATGTGTGAAAGGGGCTATACTTAAGTAAAGGTCTCCTTGTGCACATGTTTCTTTCCCTGCTGTATGATTTAGGAAAAGTACCATAAGCATCAGTAGACTGCTTCATTTTATGCCCTGTTTAGAAGGGGCCATTTTGAGCTTTTGTACAGGATGTTGAAAGTAATTTTGAGTCTTGGTGTTTGTGGCACACAAATGCAAAATCCAGTCCCCCTATGGTGCCTATACACTGTGAGATAATATGTGCTGTCACAGCTAAAAGCAAATTTGACCGCTAAATGCTTCTGACATTTTCCCTTTTCTCCAGCAACTGTCAATGCCTCAACACATCAAGATCACTGTAACCAGAAAAACTCTGTTTGAGGACTCCTTCCAGCAGGTAAAGAGACCCACGCAGTCACATCCATGTTTTAATTGTAGTTAATGCAACTTTATTTTATTTATTTTGGTAAATTCTCAGTGAATTGTGGTCACACTGTCAAACTAGCTGCGCTGATCGAATATGAATCAAGATCCTGTTACTGCATCACCTATTTCTCGCCTCAGATGTTTTCGGAAACACATTTTAGTGTACTGTTAAGCTGTAAAATGAGAAAGTTGGTGACCCGGCCAGCATGTTGGAAACAGTCAACCAAGCACCACCCACCAGCCAGACCAACTTTCTTATTTTACAGGTAAGCAGTACACTAAGTATATTTCTGAAAACATTAGAGGCGAGAGATAGGCATGCCAATAACAGGTAATGTAACAGTAACAGTGCCTCCTTGTTTGACGGTTTGACCGCAGTTCACGGGGTGACTGACATGATTGACAGCTGCATTAGCAACATCTCGGCTCTGATTGGTTGTTTTTGATGCGCCATGGTCGATTTGAATACAATGAGGTTAGAGGCAGTACGGAGAGGAGGAGGGACTTGGATTCTTTCACAGACTGTCTCATGAACTTCTTTTAGAATATAGTGACAGTTTCAGCAAATACGACAAAAGTTATACACATAAAAGTTACCAACTGTAGCTTTAACAGTGACTACATCACTAATCTGTCACTACATTGTCTCTATTTTAGATAATGAGCTTTAATGCTCAAGATCTGCGAAGGAGACTATGGATCATCTTTCCTGGAGAAGAAGGCCTTGATTACGGAGGTGTTGCCAGGTAAGTAAGAACATTGCTCAGCATAAATTCTTCTAAATATGTGATCACACTTGTTGAGCAAAATGTGTTACTGTGTCTCATAAATTGTATGTTTGTAGCAGTTGCTTTGGCCTGCTTCTATCTATTTATTTGGATATTTTTTAATTCATTATTTCTTACCAGTAATTTTTGAGTTTTTGCAACTAAATGAATTGGCATATATTTATATTTACTTGTTTATTATATTTACTTAACATTTTACTTCACCTCAACCTTTGTTGCAGATGTCTTATTTAAGTATTTTTTAAGAGGAGGATTTTTCTCAAATATTGTAGCATGATTTTTCTGAAATTTGTTCCTGCTTTTGGTTCCTAAGAGGCTGATCTAGGCTTTAGTTGTATTAGTTGATTTTGGCAATTTCCCTGATACATTAACAGCATTTCTTGGATAATTTCACCTCTTTTATTTAAATCTACACTCAATAAAATGCTCCCTACTGTTTAATATGTTTGCAAACTGCTGATTAGTTGGCGATGTATGTGGTACTATCCTTTTCTTATATGTGTGGTCTTCTCTCTTACAGGGAGTGGTTCTTCCTGTTGTCCCATGAAGTGTTGAACCCTATGTACTGCCTGTTTGAATATGCCGGGAAAGATAACTACTGTCTCCAGATCAACCCCGCCTCCTACATCAACCCTGACCACCTCAAGTATTTCAAGTTCATAGGACGCTTCATTGCCATGGCAAGTTGTTTGTTTTAGTTGTTTATATTAATCAGTATGGCAAGAAAGATCATTGTCTGAGTAGTTTTAGAATTTAGCACGGAACAAAGTACAACAAGTAAGCGGTTTGTGTGTTTCTGTCCCTCAGGCTCTTTTCCACGGCAAGTTCATCGACACTGGTTTCTCACTGCCATTTTACAAGCGCATCCTGAACAAGCCATTGGCCCTCAAAGACCTTGAGTCTATAGACCCGGAGTTCTACAACTCCCTCATGTGGATCAAGTGAGTACACAGAGCCATGTGGACACCAGCTTGAGAGAGGTGGTAGTGTTAGAGCAAGATAAACAATATAGATCCTTCTTATTCAAGGTTCATTTATTGTCATTGTACAACACAGGATTGCACTACGAAATGTATAGTGTTTGTGGATGATGCACTTTCCTGATGTCTCACAATGGCCAGAAGATGTACATTAGTCACAAAATCAATGGTTAATCCAGGTTAAGTCTTTAGCCTTCGAGCTTGTGTCTGTGTCAAGTCTGTGAAAGGTTTCGGACAACAGAACTTACCTTCATTGCTGGTAAAGTTAAGAGGAAGATTATGGAATTTCAGCAGCGGAGACTCGCCTGAAATAAAAACCACCTTTTGCTAACATCACAAGCTATCAGAGTCTCATTTATCCAGTATGTGCTCAGTACTTCCTAACACACGCATTTTCACAAAAAAAACCTTAGTGTTGGACTAATTTTTACTTTCAGTTCAGTTCAGTTTTGGATAATAAGGTTTTAGAGAAAATGTGTTCAGGACGTGCTGAACATACGACTGGATAAATGAACCTTTGATTATACTACAACTTCTCGTAACTTGTTAATTTTTGATTAACGTGCTGTGAGTCCGCCACGTCTGTCAAATACCCATTTTTTGTGAAAGATGTCGTTGGAATAGATGCCATACAGTTGTGCTGTAACTGTCCGTGCTGCTCTTTAGGGATAACGACATCGAGGAGTGTGGGCTGGAGATGTTCTTCTCTGTTGACAAAGAGATCCTGGGTGAAATCTCCACCCATGAACTGAAACCAGGAGGAGGAGACATCCAAGTCACTGAGGAGAACAAGGAGGAGTACATCAGGTGGATTACTGTTTTGATTTGGTTATTTTAATTCAGCACATAATAATTCATTGGTTAGGTTGGCGTTACTTTTTTCCACACATTCATTAGGCTAGACTGTAGTTTTTCTGAAAATTAAGTTCATCGTGAAGCTCACTGTTAGTGTCATTTTAGTGTTTTTGAGTTTAATGAAACAGAGTATAATACCACAGTGTGTGTGTGTCTCTGTCTCCAGGCTGGTAGCAGAGTGGAGGCTGTCGAGAGGAGTGGAAGAGCAGACCCAGGCTTTCTTTGAAGGCTTTAATGAGGTCCTCCCTCAGCAATACCTGCAGTACTTTGATGCTAAAGAGCTTGAGGTACGGATGGACTGATGGAAACTTATGTGTCATGGGTTGCACAAAAGAGACTGACATCTGGAATACACACACTGTGCTGTAAATTGGGTTGTAAAAGATAAGCTGAATTCACTGTAACAGCTTTCTGTTTCTTTTTTTATTTACATATGAATAACATGTGTCCTGCTACAGGTGATGCTGTGTGGTATGCAGGAGATCGACCTTGCAGACTGGCAAAGAAACACCATCTACAGACACTACGCTAGAAGCAGCAAACAGATCGTCTGGTTCTGGCAGGTCAGTTTACATCAGCAGCAGTCTCTTAAACTTTCTAATGTAATGTACAGAGACATTAAGGATATATATACCTATATTGTCTCGAAAACAGTTGGTTCCATACAAAGGTTTAGATCAGTGATCACATGACTGGTCTGTTATGAGCTATGATTAAGTGTTGTTTTAAAAACTTTGGCGTATATATGGGCGGGAACTGACTTCCATTTATCTGCTGCTCTGACTGAAAATACTGATTATCTGAGAGCAGTTTCCCTACATTTAGCCGAGCAGTCACCTCCAGCTGATACCCTGGTCTCTAGCATTGACCAGTGAGGTGGTGGTAATAATTTGTGAACCTGTTCACAACATGCTCAAGAAGTAAACCCAGTAATCCTCTGAGTTAAGAGTTAAATCTGAGAATCGTGTGAGGCAGCACTTTAAAAAAAAAAAAAAAAAGCTCAAGGTCATACTTTGTGATTCCTTTGACAAATTCAAGAAAATATGGCAATGTTTGTGGACTGTGCTAAAAGTTAACTTATGTGCATCTGTGGGCACATTACGCTTTGCTGCTTTCAGCACTGATTTCCATGAGAAATCACCAGTTTTCCCCTTTTTGGTTATACATTTAATATGCCTGTTATTATTAGTAAAAAAATAAATAAATTCCCTTTCCCTTTTCCATTTCTTTTCCCCTCCTATTCCCTTAACACATCTTTCCCTACCCACATTCCTTTATTTATGTTGCTGTGTACTGCACATAATTAACATATGTATAATTGCATAATTTTCCTGGAGACTTTTCAGTGTTTTAAACAGCATGCCACTTTGTCCTGCAGTTTATTAAGGAAATGGACAATGAGAAGAGGATGAGGCTGCTGCAGTTTGTCACCGGTACCTGTCGCCTGCCTGTAGGAGGCTTTGCCGACCTTATGGGTAATTATTAAATATCAATATATAACCATTTAAAGCGTTATTCGCATGGGATTAGTATTACCAGGGGACCTCAAGTAATTTAGAAATTAACCCGCATGTCTGTGTTTTGTGCACGGGTTATTGAAGTCTGTATTTCATTCAAATGTACTGGTATTATCCCCTGGTTATGATGCAGTCATTTATAACTCCACTCTACACAACACAGAAACAGTACAGCGCACCACTAGTGGTGATTTACAGTGTTTATCTCCTTTTTTTTTGTGGCCCACATTATCACATGTCTCCGGTCTCATCTTCGGATCACCGTCATCATTCTGGTGATGGTGTGATTATTCTAGCTCCAACTGACCTGTCTTTCACTCTATAGGAAGCAATGGTCCCCAGAAGTTTTGTATCGAGAAGGTGGGAAAAGAAAACTGGCTTCCCAGAAGTCACACATGGTGAGTTCATGCAAGCTACCCTAGAACCCACAGCAGATTGACTCAGTGTGGGTCAAACCTAACTTGTGAGTTAACTAAGCCTCTGTCTGACCAAGCCTGTTTGTAGCACGTCATTGTTGGAAGCTGTAGTGTTTCACGCTTCAGTTTGGTTGGTTTGCTTGACTAGTTGTTATAAGTGGAGACGTAATCCCAGTCATATATAAAAGACCGGACAGCACAAGGATTTTTGGGTAAAGGAAAATGTAGTTCTTCATGGGTCTTAAACATCAGAGAGGAGTCCCACTAAAATACAGTTTATTTATTATTTTTTTAAATTTTGCTTTCCCAGCTTTAACAGACTGGACCTGCCACCCTACAAGAGCTACGAGCAACTGAAGGAGAAGCTGATGTTTGCCATCGAGGAGACAGAGGGCTTCGGACAGGAATGAGAAAAACCAGGAGAATTGTGAATAGTGGGCACGGGAGTCTGAAGGAATTAAAAACCACCAGTGTTCAAATCAGGGAGCCCCTTCAGACAAAGTGGGCTTTTTCATGTGTTTCTGCTCATGCATGCATGCACACACCTGTATGGTACTTCTATGGGTGCGTGCGTGAGACTGTTGCCTGCATGTTGTTGCAAAAGAACTGGGATTCGCATCTACCGTGTACACCATGCTCTAAGCGGGCCTCTCAATGCTTGATTGGTATGTGCAAAATTTTGTATTCCTTTCAACCAAACACAGAAGCTGCTCTCATCTGTCAGAATGTGCGGCAAATTATGCATGGGATCCTGAAAAGTCACCCTCCATGACGTCTGTTTAATCAAATCAAATTTTATTTATATAGCACATCTCATACAAAGTCATCTCAACACACTTTTGCATACAACATATGTGAGTAAAAACAAATTGAGTCTTGAGAGTAATTAATCCCCAGCCCAGCCACCCTCACAGGCACACCCAATTACACATACTCAAAACAGAACACTAGAGAGGTGAGGAAGAAAGAGAGTTTAACCATTAGTGACCATGCAGTCCCTGTCAGGCCAGATCTGCACCTCAAGCTGACCACTGAGTCTGTGTTTTTTGGGAGGCCTCTGTCAAGAGCCAGAGGAAGGAGACATGGCCAGCAATTCTTGTCATGGGTCCAAACGTGGCCGTTGTGGCGAGGCCAACCATGAAGCAGAGTTCAGCTGCTTACTACAGGAGCTGCGCTCACTCATGGATCAAAGAGGAGCAGAAGCAGTAACTAAGATTAGCGAGAGCGATGGAGATGTTAACCGACTGCGTGCCAGACTGAGAACATCACCGGTCGGAGGTTTAGATGGAAACTCAGAGGACATTAACAGAAGAAAAGTTTAGACAGAACAAGATCCCTCCTTAAAAGTCAAAAACCTTTGTGCAGTTAGTGTGGGAAGCAGGATGTGACGCTAATCATCCTGGAGGTGGCAGCGATTATTTCACTAGTCCTTTCTTTCTACAGACTGCCTGATGGTAACAGGCGGTCTGTGCCACTAAACTGGCACAGCGGCTAGGGGCATGGAGGAGGAGGGTGAGGCTGAGACTGGATGCATCAAAGGCGCTGCCATTCTGCTTTCAGTGGTCTGCATTGTCCTGGTTACATCTCTTAACGAGTGGAGCGAAGAGAAGCAGTTCCGGGTCCTCCAGAGCCGCTTAGAGCAGGAGCAGAAGTCCAAGGGGGGGCAGGTGAACAAGCTCATAGTGTCAGAGAGTTGTCGGTGTCGGGGGCATTCCACAAGTCAAATATGGTGACCTCCCTACTGACGGCGTCCAGATTCAGGCAAACGATCTCAAGATTGACAAGATCACGTCAACAAGAGCGTCGACAAAGACCCCATGTTGATGTCATGGAGGGCTCTGGTAAGATGTTGGTCACTGCTGTAGGTGTGAACTCTCAAACTGGAATCATCTTCATGCTGCTTGGTGCCAGTGAGGAGGGAGACGGTGAGAAGAAGGACAAGAAGAGAACGACAAAGGAAAGAGGCAAAAACAAGGATGGAGTCATGGCGGAGATGCAGCCGCTCAACAATGACAGAACCAGAGAAAAACAAAAACCTACCAGAGAAGGAGAAGTCGGTCCTCCAGGGGAAGCTGACCACACTGGCAGGTCTGTTCATGTCGACTCTCACTGTCATGTCTGTTAATGGGACTGCAGTAGTTTTTGGGGCTACAGTCCAATTCTCATAACCAGAAGGGTCACATATTCTTAAACAGTCTCCATAAGGTGTCTTTGACCACCTGATTTCATCTTATTGAAATGCTTTGCATTAAAGCATCTGGTAAATGTCAAAATGTACATTTTAAGGCACAATTGAGAGGGTGTGCTTTTTAAAAAACAGGGTTAACTATTACCAAAAAGCAAACTTTGTTGCCCTAAGATTGTTTGTTGCATCCCCTTTTAGCATCATTCACATCATCATTCCCGATTATATCCTCAAATCTCACACTTTCAGCTTCATCTTTACTCGCGACTAGTGGATCCTTTTTAAAAAGTGAACAGTAACCTGTGACAATATAAGATTATAGCCATGCCATAGTGAATTCATAAAGAGTGCTCCAAATTAACGCTTCAATAACAGACAATCTTGGTGCTGCAAAGAGATTTGGGCAACATGCCTAATATAAGTAACGAGAGAGACAGTTTGGTGTGCCTGGTTCTATAGTATTTGATCTGTGAATCACTTCATGATTGTGAAAAGTGTTGTAGCCTCCATTATTTACAGTGGTGGGAAATGTGGAAGACTTCAACAGAAGTTTAACTGACCCTAGTTTTATAGGGCTGGAGTTTGTACGCTGTCGTGGGAGATGGGACATCTCGAATTAGAGTATTCTGGGAGTATTTTATAAGTTATTCATTGTCATTTGATTTTGCAGATCAGATCCTGAAAGAATACATTTGGGAATGAAGTCGGTATTTTAAGATATTTATGTATTCAGTACTCAAGATGTACTTGACTTAAACTGAAAATTCAAAACAATAAAATGCAAAACACAAGTGGAAAAAACACCAAATGCAAGTCAAACCAAATCTTTTTTTTTTCAGTTTAGGTTTAAAAAAAAACCAAACTTTTATGACATTTTGAATACATATACTTTACAGAACTCAAAAAGAAACTGCATGTAGCTCCTGATACACATGTAGCATTTAGAGGTGAGTTGTTACCTTGTTTTAACTCTTCATGCCCCAAAGCCCATCACAAAATGAACGGGGAAAATAAATAATGCTCTTAGGAATTTATAAATCGCTGTTAAACAGATGCAGTGTGGTATTAAAACTTTGGTCTTCCCTTTTACATTTTTACCTCTAAGTATTTTCACTTCATAACTCTTTAAATTCCTCTGATGTCATTTTGTTTTTCAGACAGCATATTAAAATTATACATGTGGCTATGTTTTCAACTCTGAAGATGTGTTCAAGTTATGATTTCAGGTAAAGATTCTTATGTTAGTGTTGCTTATGGATCCCGAGAGCTGCCAATTTTAGCAGATTACTGTTCATGATCACAGATGTGTGTGCACGAAGAAATCTCCAGATGCTTTACCAGTGTGGAATCCAACATTAAGTGTGTATGAAAACGTGTTTGGTTTGGATGATGTCACACATCTGATCAGTAACAGAGTTATAAAAGATGATTCATCTTATTTATCCCTATGAAAACATGAAACACTTCATAGTGTGGTTGCTCATTTTGGAGTGTCATTTTGAATTAGTTAAGTACACACTGAAAAGACAAGTGCAGTTACTGAGGAACATTGGATTCAGGTGTTGGTCTGACAAAGCAGAAGCACTTTTAAAAAATATCCCTCCACTTTCTTTTCTTCAGTATTTGGGGAATCCTGTCCTGGTTGTTAGTAACTCTAGGCTCTTTGTTTCCACATGCGTGGTGCGATGGTGTTTGTCGTCAGCCTTCAGGTAGCCTTATTTCCACCCTCATCATCAGGTATCCTTTTTAGCAACTTGATGCGAGCAGAGGTGATTGACCACATGGACTCTCTTGACCCTGCTGTGGAGAAGTAACCAGATCAAGAGGAGTTTGAGATGTTCTATTGAAGAAACTGTACCAGTGTGGAAAAGCTATAAGACTTGAGCTGATCTCACACGGCCTGTTTTGATGGCTAAGTGTGACTTCAGCTGGGATAACAACTACTGAGATAAAGTCAGTGTGATATAACGAATGTATGATGAAAAGTCATTTGGTGAAGTTGCCTCTATACATCTTTGCCTCAGATTGTCCCCCCTTTGATGCAGAGTGTTAATCTGTTAATCTTGTTCTGAGCTGATCACACGTTAAAATCCCAGGAGCAGAGCAGTTAAGCAAATGTGTGAATATCATGAATCACCGCTTCTTCTTTTTGTTCTCCAGAATCCACCATGTACAACTAAACCACTGTCACTCTCCTGTACATGAAAACAAGTTGTAAATGGTGTCAATAACAAATTTTCTTTTGTAAAAGAAAGGTTTTAATAAGAGGTTTATGGTAACACTATATTTTCTTTTCCCTGTTTAATTGCTGATGTACATGAAAGATGTGTAATATAGAAATTGTCACCTTAATAAATTAAATCAAAAATGTGTGTGTGTGTCTGTGCCTGGCTGAATGAAACAATCAGTGACTGGAAAATACATCCTGTATCTGTGTCTGTCCCTGCAAGTTTTTAATCTATGATTAACATTTATTTTGTGATGAATTACAGACATTAATGCATTGACTTAATCATTCCTTTGTTTTTTAAATGAGCAAAAATGACACCACACACACACACACACACACACACACACACACGTCTTTAAGGAACTTATAGGATTCCATTTCACTGATATTGTAGGCTATTTGTATGACTTCATGTGACAAAAAATATTTTATAAAGATAATAGCCAAACCATGTACTTATTTCAGCATTCATTTATGTATTAATTTGTTTTCAGTCATACTGAACCACCACATACACCGTTAATTATAGGGCATAATGTGCTGCTTTACTTAATAAACTGTGTCCTCAGGTGAACTTTGTTTTAGTCAACCCATTTTCCACGAGACATATTTTGTGTGTGTTTGTCTATGGAACACCAAAGGGCTCTAAATGTCTATTTTGATGTTTGTATTGAGAACTCAAATTTGTTCATCTGAACAGGTAAAAATATAACGTCCTAGCGCGATAAATGTACATTAAAACAACAGTTTTAATCAGTGACTCTAAATTGCCCATAGGTGTGACTGGTTGTCTGTCTCTATGTGTCAGCCCTGTGATAGTCTGGCAACCTGTCCAGGGTGTACCCCGCCTCTCACCCAGTGTAAACTGGGATAGGCTCCAGCCCCCCCGCGACCCTCAAGAGGATAAGCTGTTATGAAAATGAATGATTGATGCCATTGAGTTTGACATTATGACATTTTAATTGAACCACGGTGGCTGAACTTGCACAAAATTTGTCCACAAAAACATGTAAATTCTCCACTGGTTATTTTGGCAATATAGATCTACCAGGAAACATACTGTACTTACTTTACAGTAACAGAAGTAAAAGCAGTGTGTATAATTTAAATAACGTTTTAATTTAAAACAAATAAATAATTTCCCTGACTTTTTTAAATAAAGAATAGCTTTGTTTGTTTGGTCCATGTCCAGGAAGTGATGCTTCAAACTACAAACATGGCTGCTGCAAACAGCTCTGGTCATTACTCTGAATCTGCTCCAGTGCCACGCCACCATGTTCCATCCCATCATCCTCCTCTTCTCTGTCCGCCTGCCCTTCAATGCTGGTGATAGTCATTGCAGCCTGACAACCCTCATCAGTCCTCCTCCCATCTCCTTCCTCCTCCTCGTCCTCCTCGTCCTCCTCCCCTTCCTCCTCCTCCTCTTCCTCCTCCTCCTCCTCCCCGTGCGTGTCCACCTGCTCTTGGCTGCCCTTTGAGCTGTCGTCCTTCTCTCCGTCGTCTCCCCCTGTCCCTGGACGTTTTTCTTTTCTCAAGAACCTCCTCCTCCTCCCGTCATCCTCTCCATCCTTCTCCTTTGCCATCGCCTCTCCCACGACCTCGTCTCCCTCTGCCTCCCCAGTCCCTCCTTCAGTTCCTGTCCCGTTCCCTGCTGCAGGACATTTGTGATCTCTGTAATAGCTCTGTCTGGTGAATCCCTTGTTGCAGGTAGAACATCTGAAGCGGTAGTTATCTGTGTGGGACTGCTGATGCTCGAGCATGTGGGCCCTGCGGCTGAACGCCTTCTGACAAAATAGACACTTGTAGGGTTTGATACCTGGAGGAAAGAGGGGTTCATAAGAATCAATTTAATAATGATGCTGTTGTCGTTTTTGATTCACATTAAGGGTTTACCAGTTTAACTTCATGTCTTAAATAAACATGTAATGTAACTACAAACTGAAGTTTTATTGATACAAACAATTCTGTCAAATCTTTGTTTAAATCAAAATGTTTATTGATAATATTCACTTACCAGAATGTGAGAGGATGTGGGCCTTGAGTTTGTCTGGTCTGTTGAATTCTTTGGTGCAGCCTACATGTGTCCTGATGAAAAGAACAGAATACATAGCATAACACTACTCAACTTGTGAGAAAAGTAAGAATTAATGAAGACTGACAGAAGTAAGAAAAGTCGAGGCTTGAATGATTAAAAGAATGGATCAAGTAGTGAAGCAGGAAAGAATGAGTTTACAAAAAGCTAACAGAGCGTTTCCATTGGAGAGCCTCACCTAAAGGGGCACTTGTATTTCTTGAAGGGTTCATGGATGAGCATGTGTCGCTTCACTTTGTCCTTCCTGTTGAACGTCGCCTCACAGAGGGAGCATTTGTATGGCTTTTCACCTAGAAAATGGAATCAGCATCACAATCACACCTTTAACTTAACTCATGACTTGTACATGTACAGATACTGTGATGTACAGGTGGGGGTGAACGTAACTCTAATTTAAATGTTAGAGTGACTTAAATGTTTGCTCTGGCAAAATTCTTGCAACTGTATAGTCTCCTTAAACATTCAAATGCTAACATCTAAGCCAGAGATACATCAACATAAACTTGTTTACTCCAGCACTGTTACAGTTTTATTGACCACTTCCTTGTTTTAACAATAGATTCTTCCTTCTGTTGCAGCAAACGTTCCTGGTGTCATGGAAATAAAAACAGAACTGGGTTGTTAGCCTGAGCAGTGACAGTGACACCGTGGCTAAACAGACACTAAAAATAGTGCTACCTAAAGAAACTCAGCAAGAGACGTGTTGATACTGAGCTATGGAACACAATACAGCATTGTCTGGCGGCTTGGCTAAAAGTCTCCATATAAAAGAATGTCAGAGGGAAAAGAAGACTGCTTCATTAGTTTCTTTCAGACCTGAGTGAATACGCGTGTGCAGTTTGAGGTAGTGCTCGGTCTTGAAGGCTTTCTTGCAGATCTGACACTTGAATCTCCCTCCAACGCCGTGAGTGGGGAGGTGGCGTCTGAAGTACCTTTCACATGGAAAAACCTGATGGCCAGCAAGAGAACAGATCAGACACTGCACCAAGGTCTTAAAATGTGACATGAAAAACAGAAGAACACCTCAAACTTGAACTAGTGAACTGCGGATTTCAAGGCAAAGTTATTAAGCATGAGAGACGAATGACTACTTAAACTTTTAGAGTCCAAATGTCACTACAACATTAGCTAACCATGCTAGCTCTTAACACAAGGACAGCTTCACAAATTCCAAAGGCATATGATGTGTTCACATCAGTGTGTGGAGCACCTTTTGACAGTGTGGGCAGGGAAAGTTGTGCGAGGCGGTCTGTAGATGTTGTTCCAGTGCCTCCTGGGTGGAATATCTGCTTTGACACTTTACACATCTGAAAAGGCAAGAAAACAAGTGGGGTTTTCGTTAGAGATAAGAATGATGTATCAATCAATTACTTCCAACAACAGAAACAAACCAGTCAAGACAAGCAAGAACATTAACTGAGTTGAGGACCAACTGCAGCCTGGAGGAAAGAAGGTTTGACAGAAGGTCAAAGATGCTGTGAAAATTAAACTATTCAAATTTTTCAAGGGCGACACAGTGGTACAGTGGTGAGACAGTGGTGAGACAGTGGAGTTGGAGTTTTCTCCAAGTCAGCGTGGGTTTTCTCCGGGTACTCCGGCTTCCTCCCACAGTCCAAAGATATGCAGGTTAGGTTAACTGGTGCAGATAAGAACACATGTGGTGCCTTAGTGAGTATTCCTGGCAGCAGGACAGTGCACATGGGACTGACAAGACACTGCCATTCTTTTAATTCTCCAGAAGTCATACTTTATGTAAGTGTACATCCACTTTTCTTCTCTTCCTGAGAAGCTCCATCTATGAGGGAGACTTCCTCTCACCTGCCCCAACTCCTTGTTCCTATATTTTGTGTCAAAACACTGAGGCCATTTCAGCTGACTTTGGAACGCCAGTGCTCTTCCTATTGTTCCACTATAATTAATATGTAACCAAAACACAAGGATGAGTGACTGAGCGGACCTGTATATGGTGGTTTCCTTGCGTGTGTTCTGTTGTGGGCAGAAGCAGTGGGAGTACTGGTGGACTCCCAGTTCAAACAGTGAGGGGAACACCTTGCTGCAGAGGTGGCAGCGGTAGGTCAGCTGCTCTTGGTGCGTCCTGATGTGCTCCAGGAACTGATCCAACTTCTGGAAGGTCTGGGAGCAGGACTTCAACACACATTTGTAAACCTGGAGGGAGGTGAGCACAGTTATTAGGTAGCCACAGCTTTCTATTACGAATATGAATTAATTAAAAAGTCTGCTTGTCTCATGCAATAGTTTACTGGTGGGAGACTATGAGCTCTTCTGTCAGATAATCCATTCTCACAAGACAAAAACTAAGCAAACATGGACTCTGAACTCACCTGCTCCCCTTTGTGCTGAGTCAGATGAGACTTGAGCTGGAAGTAGGTCTTAAACTTGCTGGCACAGAACTGGCACTGGTAGGAGCTGTCGATTACAACTATCTGTTTGGTCTGAGCTTGGCACTGTTGGTCCTGGTTGGACTGCACCTGCATCTGTACCTGAGGATGCCCGTTCTGTGTGGCTTCACCGTGGCTGCCCTCCTGGTCAGCCCGAGCCTCAGTTGCACTCTCCTCCAACTCCCCTGGAGCTTCTGTAATCAAGCATTGTGTTCACTGTAAGAGCTAGAGCTGTAAATCTGGTGCTGGATCAGTAGCTGTTATTACTTTTACAATTAGGGTCAGCATTTGTGTGGGACAAAAGTATAAGCAACCTACAACTCACTAAATACAGAAAATAGACAGATATTACCTGTTTGAACTACCTCTTCTTCAGTTTGTGTTTGACAGTTCTGCTGCTGTGACCCCTCCTCCTCTGGTTCACCTTGCTGCTGCTGCTGCTCCCCACCCCCTTCCTCCTCATTGGAGGACACTGGTACCACCTTGACTGTGATTGGTAACCTGGACACTGTGCTGGCCACACCCATAGGCCACACCTTTGAGAAAATGTAAAAATCGAAGGAAGTGCTTTAAGATACATTTCACCAGCGTGATTGATTAACAATCTTACCTTAACCCTTTCCCCAAACAGTGACTGTCGAATCACAGCTTAGCAACTATAAGTAGGCACTGCAGGTCTGTCAACTTTTGGATTTCTCCACAAGTACATAGAGTTGACAGAGAGTCAGAGCATGGTTTCTCCTTTTCAGCATTTCAAAACCAAAAATACAAGAGCAAAGGTGTAAGGAATGGATCAGTCTTGGAACCTATCTGCTATTTGTCTGATGATGATAAGACTCTACTTCACTTGGGGTCCCAACATTGAGCCCTGAGGAACACCAGCCCAGGCCAATATTTCAGGCTAATCTGGTGTAGCCAGCAGATATCAGAGCCAAGACTCAATCATCCATGTGGTCATTTTGGCTTATCTCTACAAGCACATATCTGCATATGAATGATCAACTTTTAAAAAAGCTAAACTAAATCTAACTAATCATGAGACAGTGGTCGATGGATTCCAAAATTGCATTTTGGCCATCTGTTTCACCTCTCCGCACAGACTGTTTACCTGCTGTTAGAATGTGTTTGGTCAATACTACTGGGACTGCAAACGGAAACCAGGGCACTTCTGATACAAAAATCTTGGCCCATTGCCTAAATATGTATGCAGAATCTGTTTATAGAGATTGGGAATGGATTAAACCGTGTGTCTGTGTGCTCTAACGGAAGTTAAAAACTTAAGTGTGTTTGGCTCACTAGCTTACTACCTACAGAAGTAACCCAGCATTACTTTCAAAACAAAGGAGCATATGTTGATCTGTGGGGTTACAGGTTATGCTGAGAGAAAAAAATCCATTCTCAATAGCATTTCCACTCCGTGGTATTCTCCCACTGTGAGGGACTGGATGTCACTAAATCAGAGGTTAGACTCATATCACTGCTCTGTCCTGTGATTTGGAATTTACACTCTGGCAATCTTATCCAAAGTGTTGCGTTCACCAAACACACTGGTTAATCCTCATCCTGAGTACCTTTCTCTTAAAAAGTTAAAGTAAAATAAACTGTAGATTCAAAGCATCCAAACAGGGTTTTGTCTAATCTTATGTTTCCTTATCATATTAATACTTATAGCACTAAGTAGGCCCACACTACAATACAAGAATAGTGTTTTTTCTTTCTTTCCATGTGTTCTACATGGATGCTAAATTATGCTAGATGCTAACCCGGGACATGCAGCTTTAGCCTCAGTTTATATAGCATGATATCAACTGTATCAAGTGCATACCAACGACACTTTCATATGGTTCAGTTAAATGATTCCGCTTGAAACATTTGGCAGGTCAGTGGCAGACTATGTTTTACATAAACTCATGGAGCTAACATCATCTCATTTGATGAACTAGCTACAGCAGATGAAATCTGCTGGTGACAGTCATCATTTCAATTGGCAAAATAAAGGGTCACCAGCTAGGAATGAGGAGCCTGCTTCTGTGCACCTCTGTCTGAAATCAATTACTCATTGTTTCTATGAATTCTGCAAGGTTAATCTTTCACTATCACTGTAAACTGCATATGTGCCTGGGCAAAAATGAAAAGAGTGACAGATGTAGCAACGGTAGTTAAGGGGGTCAGGTCTTAACAAACAGCCAATTCTGAATTTTTGGGCTAGCATTGCCTAAAATCTGTTTTTATTTGTTTGTAAGAATTTATGACATCAACCAAACTGTGATGACTTGTGAGGATGGTTTTGTGTGGAGAATACACAGTTTTGAAAAAAAATTATTATCACAAACTATTTCGAACCTTGTGCGTCTGCATGTGTTTCTTCACGTTGGACTTTTGGGCAAAAGCTCGGCCGCAGACGATGCACTGAAACGGTTTCTCTCCAGTGTGACTGTAGAAAGAAAATAGTTGAAAGTCATTTCTAGAAGGGCACTGAGTCCATTTCTTCTGAGTCTATTTTTAGATGAACACAGTCTGCCATAGTAGCCAGTATCTCACCTTCTAATGTGCTGCTGAAGATCAAAGTTTTTGGAGAAGATTTTGTCACAGAAATTACACTTCAGCTTCGGAACTTTTCCTTTCAGCTGCTCTGCTAAGGAGGGAAATTCAGTGAATGAATTTTTATCCTACAACCATCATCATACATTTCAAACTATGGCTATTATGTTATGCTGCGCAGTTTCCTTTTTTTCTTGTAGTATTTTAAACCATATAAAATATAGCAAACTAATTGAGATATGGCTTTCTTTTTCAAGAGAACAAAGAACAAAAACAATTACATGAACACAATCAGCAATACTGTAACAAAACAGGAGTAACACAGCGACACAATAAACAGGTAATTTATAAGAAACAGTTGCAGGAATCATTAACAACATCAGACAATAAAGCTTTAAAATCTCCAAGGCCAATGAAGACTCAGGTTTGGGGCAGTTTGCAGTTAAATACATTAAGGAGGTGCACAGTATCTGAAACCACCTCTGTCAACATTAGTGCCAACATACTGGATTTCTAAGGTGATGCAGGCACTGAAACGTTTCCTGTAGTTACTAAAACAGTCACATATAAAGTTTTTGTGAAACAGAATCTCACCTGTGGATTATTATTTTAAAAAGGTCAGACTTGTGATGGTCTTTGTTCATGTCCCTCACATACCTGTGGCTCCATCTGAGCTTTTCTTGCTACTCCTCGACCTTTTGGGAATGATGACCTTTTCGAAGTCGCCCAGCTCCGTCAGGTTGGTGGTAATGCTGCAGGTCTTTGTTTTGGTGCCCTGCTTCCCAGGGCTGTAGACAGGAGGGGTGGTGAATGACTGGCTCTCCACACACTGACTGGGCACCTGAGGGAGACAAACGAGCTCGGTGCTTTGTCTCAGACTGCTTTTCAGTGTCAGTCTTCTGTGTGTACGACCAAACTCCTTATCTGATCATGTAATTTAGTATTTCTGAGCTCATTTTACTTGGAGTTTTCTTAAATTTGGTCCTTTAAATACTGCGGCTACAAAATCTTTACATTTTTTTCTCATGCAACATTAGAAAGTCTGGAGTTAAATGGTTCAGATGGTAACCCTCACTTGCACAGGATGGAAAGGCTGCAGACCCAACGTGTGGATCTCTGCACCACCACCCCCGGCCATATGGGGCAGTGTGCTGTACACCTGGACCACTGAGTTGCTGTGGCTCGCTGGGACCTGTGAGGTGAGCGGCTGCTGGGCGGGCTGTCCAGCTGGCAGGGGGTGGGCCGGTGTCTGGCTGGAGGGCAGGGGGTGGGAGGACTGCTGCTGTTGCTGTTGCTGCTGCTGCTGCTGCTGCTGCTGGTGATGATGATGGTGATGATGGTGGTGGTGGTGATGGTGCTGCAGGTATGAAACACCAGCTGTGTGCATGCTCAAGTTACTCTGCAACACAGTGAAGGAAGCAGATTTGATAACAGTGCGTTAAAAAATGTTTTATGGACACTGGACGCTCAGAATGACTCATAATTGTCATTTTCATCAGTCCCAAATTTGCTCTGAATCATCTCACACTTGGTGACTTAACTGACTTTAAAAAGAGAGCATGATAAACAGCGCCTGGCAAAGATATGACACTTTATAGGGCTAGGACTTATACAAGTGACGGAAGGCAAAGCATCTAGTGTGTAACGTTGTACTGTCTTACCTGTATAGGCGTCTGCATGGTGGCCATAGGCTGGTCGATGGAGGTGAAGGCTGAGATAGCCGACATCAGAACATCGTCACTGACCAGCACGTTGCCTTGGACCAGAGTGTGTGTCAGAGGGGAGGGAGGGACTGTGATGTAGGTGGATACCTGATGTGTAAGTGGGGAATAATACACAAACATATGAGTAATATAAGAGAGTAAGCATGCATGAGTGTGTAAAAATGTATCATTCTTACCTACTTTGCTAAAGACTGTCATCACAACTGGACACATCTGTCATAGTCTCAGAGGAAATTGAGGTTTTTGTTTCTATAGTCCTGCTCTCAATGCTGTTCTCTTTTACAAAAATTCAATAACAATATTTCTGATCAAACACCTTATCAATCACCCACATAAAAACACCCTCACTAGCTTTACCTGTCTGTTGGCAGGAGTTTGCGGTCCAGAGCTGATTGAGGGAACCGGTGTGTAGGCATTGGTGGAGGCCAAGGACACTGTGGACAGGGAGGGGACGTTGGACTGGCACTGCTCCCTCTTGTGTGTCATGAAGGCTGGCAGAGAATTGAACTGTTTCTTACACTTCCCACACAGGAACACATCTTCGTCGTCTGTAGGAAAGACAGAGGTTTGAGGCACCGTGAGTGCTGTATACTGCAGTCATAACCTCCAAGAAAAACCAGGTCATTATCATGGGCAGAAAAAAAGCCTGCGTGACGGCATCATCAAAGACGGGCAGCGCAGAAACAACACAGCAGGTCCAGAGAGTATACAAGGGCACAGTCACAGGCTACTGGCAACACTGCTCACACAGCTTCATGTTTCAAAATCATCAGTCATGAGAAATTATGTAGTTTTTCATAACCAGGGTTCAACACAACTTCACTTCACCAGATACTTCACTGCACTGAAACTTCCCAGCAGCGAGCCCACATGGCAACTGGCCCATCATGCTGTCAGACTGGGCCTGACTGGACCTCATGGGTACAGGCCCTGACGCCAGGTACTCGCCTGTCACCTCCCCTCACAGGCCTGGCTCCTGTAGGGGTCCTTGATCTCCATACCCTCTTATCCTACCACTCATCTGTGACCAGTTTATGTTGTGACACCCTATCAGGACCCGATACCCCCCTTCAACAGTTCCCAGGGTCACACAGAGACACAAACCCTCCCACTATAATGAGGTGGCAAGTATGACGACATTGTCATAATATTCTGAAGCAAAACAGCTATGCATTTTTATATGTGACACAAGCACAAGTTGCAGTGCCATAACATCAGGAAGATAGACTATAAGTAAATGCTGCTGGTGCACAAGTACTAAGGGGGAGATCTTTTAGTCACAATTTAATAACAACCAAAACTACTGCCTCATGTGACGAGCAGAAAAAAAAATAAAAATCCAAATGTAAGTACATAGAACACAAACCTTTTGGGGAAAAAGAGCAAAGGTGTTATCTCACACACAATATGCCACACATTTAGTGAGTGGGGCCATTGTTTAAGTCAACATTATATTTTTTAATTGAGTCAATACTGCTTTAAAGACAGTATTCCTTTACAAGCCCATTTCAAATAAGGGTCACTTCATACTCCTGTCTTTCTGTTTTGTGGTTTTACTTGGCTCCATAAAGCAAAGATACTGTTCTGACAGTTGTATTTGTATCCCTCTGTTTGTTGGGTTATCACTCAGCTGTCATTTACTATATTTGCTGCACATACCCATAGACTGGATCGTGGACGTCCCAGAGACGTTCTGGCTGTTTGGGTCGGGAACTCCACCTTGGCCATCCAGCAGAGACTGGACCGCTAACACTGTCTGGTTGTCCATGCCTGAAGAGGGAGAGGAAGAGGAGGGTGGAGAAACATGTAATAAGTCACATGCTGCAGAGCTGCATTCAGAAAATCTGAACGTAGTATTAAGTCATTGAGGGGTCTAGGTGATAAGCTAGGCCCTGGAGATGGAAGGAACCTGTGTCTTGTTAAAATACATTTCAATAGGGAGGATCTTTGCCATCACAGTCTGTTAAACCTTCAGATGTAAAATGAAAAATGAGTCATGATTTAAGGATCAGGATTAGCAGCTTTATAAAATATTTTCTCCTGCAAATTCAATCCTTTTCTTATAATATATTTAGGGAAGAATGTACACAAATGTAATAATAATAATAATAATACTCTAAGAGATCAAAAAAACACAAAACATGGGGTTGCTGTGAATTCACTTCTAACACAGACGCAATATCAGTCCTTATGTTACTGTAGCTGTGTGTTGTGTTCAGGGCCTGGCTGCTGCAGAAATGTCAAAATCTGTGCAGCAAGATTGGGAGACATTATTTCATGACCTGACTGCAGTATGATGAGACCGAGAGCTCACGACTGTAAGAGTCGTGAGCTCTCCATAACGTCTGAACAATAATCAGTCTGTTTGTTTGTTTGGTCACTCTTCCTTCTTTGGGATGTTTTGATTGTTATAACGCAAATTGACGCATTCACATCTATTTACAGTGAGTTTTACGTACACCGATATGATCCTGGTATATTGACGATGTTTAAAATACATAATTACGTGTTGTTGCAGCTGCAGTTAGGTGGTTATTGACAAATTATGCCTACCTTCAAGCACTTCAAATATTGCTTGCGCCATCTTGTAGCTCCTCTGCTGCGCGATAGGTGCTCGACTAGCAGGGTCTGCCTGTTGAGGCGCACTCCTATCGACTTATAGGAGAGTACATTGAAAACACTGAAACTAGAGTTTGGACCCAACACTTTGGACACGAAGTAGCTACAGCTTGTTTGTTTGACTGAAACCGTCAAAACATTACAATTGAAGTTAATCCAGCATTGTCCTATGTGACACAATATTTGTGGCACACTTGAGATTTGAGTATAACAATATCTCCCAAAACGTTTACTTAGAGGCTATGATTTTAATGATGTAAAAATCCCAAAACAAAACAATTAGAAATCTGTTTTATTACACCTCATACTCTGTAGTATCTTAAATATATTCAGTTTCACAAATTTATTTAAAAAGGACTGTTCACATGTTAGGAACTAAATATCTAAAATTCCTTATAACTCCAAAGGCAAAAGAAATTCATTTTAAAATCTTAAACTGAGTGTATCCATCCATGACTTATATTAATATTGATTTGGGATTGAAACCAATAATTGTGTATTCTGTGATGATACTGAAACTACTTATAATTTATTTTTTCACTGTAGGCTATGCTTCATGTCTTGATGCACATGACTGACTTTCCCCAAACCTTTCTTAAAAAGGACATTGTTTATGGACTCATCATGGACAACAGCAAGGATGACTTTCTGGTAACTAACGTTCCTATACTTTATTTACTTTACTTATGTACACAAATCCAAATATATGAAGGTGAAACCTTCTGTACTGTGTTTCATGAGTTTCTTTCTTATTTGAAAGCCAGTAAGCTAATTCGACATAAAAATGCAATGGAACTGTTTAGCACTAGTGATTAGTATGATTTACAAAAAAGCACAACCCTTAATTTATTTTATTATTATTGATATTCCTACATACATACATATTTTGTATACAATTCCATACCTCAATCTCCTGTTTGTTTTGATTTAACTTGTTTGTTTTTGTTTCTGTCTGTTTTTGATATAATGAAAAATGTTAAGGTCATGTTTGTACATGAAAACTGTGCAGTTACCAAACAAAAACAAAAATCAGGTCATTAAAAATGAACGTGCTGCAAGTTCTATTTTTTCCGTGGGGCTTGAATGCACCTTAAGATCGATGACTCTGCGCTCGATAAAATGACAGACACCCGTGTTAACACCAATCAGAGACAGGCCGTCCCGCCCTCCGGAAAATGTAGCTTCTCGACCAATGGCAACTGTCAATTTGAACCACGTGCCGATTTCGCGGCAAAAAAGATTTCGCGCGAAAACCGTCCGAGCCTTGTTTAGATGTAGATCAGCTGGGACAATAACAACAATAACAGCCGATAACGGGGACGGAACGGCGTTTTTATAAATGGACCTCGCCCGGTGAGACTCACGGACGGACCAGCTGCTGCTGTTTTACCGGACTCGCGTGTATTTAACCGCTTTATTTCCTCATATTTCCAGTTTTGTCAGACTGCTTCCTGCGTGCCCCAACAAAACGAGGGGGTTGAAGAATTGCGGCTAATAACTCAGCTAGCATGCTAACCTGCCCTACATATTCATATCCAACGTTACCACAGTGTACTCCGCTTAACTAGCTGTCGCTGTGTTACATGTACTCTCAGCAGAGCCTCAGAGTTGTGGTGATGTATTTTACAGTGTCGATATTTTATCTCGATAGCTCACTCCTGGAATGCTGCTATAAAGTTTTAATATCTATATAACTAAGCCCCGTCTCGTGTAAGCGTAGATAATATTGTTTTACAGACTTCCATAGCTAGTTTGTCGGCTGCAGCGGGTTGTTTGTGAACTTGTGTCAGTCTTTGTTGTCAGGACATTAGCTAGCTCGTTAGCAGGGCTGGTAGCTGTGTGGAGGGCAGTGTGGCCAGGCCTCGCGGCTCTACTGTACTGACAGGAGAGATGAAAACAAAAGATTAGCTCGCTCCTTTGCTAGCTCGCTAACCCCCTGTGTGTACTACGGCCACGGACAATTTGCGACGCTGTCTTTGATAACATATCAGCGGCTCACGGCGAGGAGTTGGTATGCAGTTAGCAACATTAGTTAATTTGCCAAATTTCCTGTTTGGCAGAACATCCTGTCTTGCTGTGTTGCCTCCACCTTAAGTTATCTCCCAGCTGTTAGCTTACTGTATATTTAATCTAAAGTAACATTGTTAGTGTTAATGTATTTCTAGCAGCTTGTTTGGAAGCAGTAAGATGGACATTTTAGAAAGGGGAACTTTTTAAAGAAATGTTGAAGCTGCCTATAAATGCCTGCAAGCAAACTTTCAGAAGGTTTCATCATTGTTCCCTAAATTCAAGTACAGCCAAACCAAGTGGGTGCTGAGACCCAAACTGCACCATCTTAGCTTACAGCCCCCAAAGTCCAGTGAAGGGGTACCCAGTGACACACTGCCATGTCAGAGACTCTGATAACGGGCCAGACATCGGAGGATCTGTTGGCTGACTTTGAGACTTTGCTGAACTCTGGGAGTATTGAGCTGGGAGAGGACCACCAGATAGTGATCATCACCAGCCCCAGCAATGAGGGACTCCACCCGGCCGCTGCACCCAGCAGCACGGGGGAAATCCTGCTGTTTGCCACGCCACAGGGCCCCGTTGACGTGGGGATCCAAGACAAGAGACGACCTGCTCTGGGAAGACCTCCGGTGAGGAGAAGGGGGAGGTGTGGGAAGAAGGGGGAGAGGCAGAGGTCAGAGAGAGTAAAAGAGCGATAAAGGAGGAGGTTAGCTGAGGAGGTGACATGTTTAACATGTGTTAACATGTTTACATGAATGTGTTTCGGCCTGCCAAACAAAGCTGTAAGAGTCTATCCACCTGTTGCTCTAAGAGGTTTTGCTTTTCATGTAGTAGGGAGTTTCTTTTTCAGTCATTTTCACTTTCCTTTCTTCCTCTTAATACATAATTAGTACACAGTTGTAACAACGTGTAGTATATATATTGATGGCAGTTTTGACAATGTCTGTTTTCTTTCTACAATCATATCAGGTAAAGAGGAAGTTGGACCTGGACAGTGACCATCAGTATGTCAGCACCACTCGATCGTCCATAGGCCAAGCGCCACCCTCCACACCTGCCCCGCCCAGAGGTACACACACACACACACACACACACACACACACACACACACAATTTTCTGCTGATTTTTCTTTCATTGTTCCCCAAAATTCACAGCAGCAGCAACACGTCAGCTGTGTGTGAGCCCTACCTCCCTCCAATCCATACAGACTCTGACCTTTGTCACAGCCGTCATTGTCCTAGAAACAGCTGTTCTTTTATCAGCACAGACAACAGCCTGCCAGCCTCTCTTTGTCTTCACAGGCTGACTATCGGTATCTAAAATAATTAACACTATTGGCAAAATGACTTAAAACTCATACAGGAAGACAATCATTATTTTGTGATTCATTTATGTTATGTTCTCCCTCTTTATTGACATTGATCAATTGTTATGGTTCACCAGTTTAAAACATAAGAAAGGAGCTTAAATGGTTGCCTACAGGAGTAACGTTTCACTATATGTAAAACAAACAAAAAGGAAACTATACTTGGGGTGTAAAAGATGGACAGGATCATGGGTTTTGTAGTTCTTTACTGGCTTAACACTCTTGGTGTAGCCATTGTTCTTTCACTGCGTAACAAACCTCAAATTCATGTAAAATGTGTTTTTAAAATGGGATAGATACACGGTATAATGATATGGGGGAGGAGTGCAAACATAAACTGCAGTAAGAGAAATGCATTTTAACAACTGAAAGCATATTAAAGAGTTGATTTTACATGCAGCAGACACTGGAGCAGAAGCATTAGTGTGAGTAAAAGACTGAAACTGCTTAAAACGTGACACACATATTTCATCCTGTATTCCAAATTCTTCCTTGAAAACACAGTGGTCGTGAAACTTCAGAGTTGCTATGAATTATGTGAAACTAAATAAAAGCAGGTGGGCTTTAGGAAAGTTTTTAAAAGCTGTGTTTCTGAATCTTCGAGTCAAGATATTCCCCAGAATGTGCTTTTTGTGTCCTTTGAATTTAGCAGAAATCGCCTTTGCTTAACAAAGGATTAGTGTAAAATAAAAAAATTAAAAACCCAAGGCTTGGTGTTTTGCACTGAAATGACATTTTCAATAGGTTTTTGTATTTGCCACCACTGTTCGTGGAAAGAGAAAAATACACACTGGAAATAAATGGAGGAAAAATGACATGCTTGCCAGAGACAAATCATAGCTTACATAAGAGCCACATAAATCAAGGGACCTCTGTGTTCAGTTCACTTATAACTGTGCCATTTCTAAAATAAATATCAGATATAAATGTCAGATTTTCACAGGTTTAAAGTGAGCAAGGCTGTATGAGTCGGCTGTGAAAAGATGCCACTGTCACTGAGACACACCTGAAGCAGCACAACACTGACCCAGTTTAACACTCAATGTGAATCTGAGAAAAGGACTCCGGTCTAAAGTGACGTGCTCGTTTTGCTTTGGGAGACTACAAAAATAACATGTTTAATTAAAGTTACAAATAGTAAAGTGGCGTCAGAGCTCATAATTTGTTCCATAATTACATTTAAAAAGTAAAAACTACATCACAGGGCTGCCACACACAGAAACTAGAGCTACTGGTGTAAGTCATGAGTAAGGATGTCCCAATCCAATCTCAAAGATTGGTATCAGCCGATCAAGGCATTTTTTAGTGATCAGCGATCAGCTATATTGAGCTTATATGGGACGAGCCCCGCCCGCAGTGCAACACTACACACCATAAATGAAAGCAAGAAGCAGAACGAGACTGTTTTTTTATGTTATTTACCAAAGTTACGAGCACTCATTTTATTCAGCTCAGTGTGAGAAACTGCTGGTGTGTTATCTATGGCGCATGGTGTTTCAGCGCCCTGCTCGGGGGAGAGACGGTGTAGAACCGATGACACCCACGCTCACCACACCACTGCAAACTCAACAAAAGCCCTATGAGCAAAAAAACCAATAAG